GAAATTGTCACATATAGTTTTGAATTCAGAAAATAGCACTGATAATGAAGAACTGCTTGTTAAGAATGAAAAGCTTTCAATTGACTATTTAACGGGAATGCTCGAGACTGCAGTTACAGGGCCTTGAACAATTGAAATTTATGATTGAAGAAGAAAATGCCTTTTTATAATATTAAAGAGAAAGTATTAAAATGGAACTGCAAAAACAACTTGTATGAAAAAAAGAAAATTTAACAAAATAAATGTTAACATCAAATTGTTTTTTGTAAATTTTGATTCTCTTAAGCATAAATGCTTCATTTCTTCACAAACAACCACTTCATGGTTATATAATTTTATAATTTCTTCTACTAATCTTACTAGATTTACAGTCGTGTGCAAAAGTTTAAGACCACACGTAGAAAAATCAGATTTATTGGAATTCCGCAACATAAACATATGTTATAAATGAACAAAATAGACTTACAAGGTTACTGAAGTATAATCAGTATTTATCAGACCTCCTTTATTTTTTATCACTGCTGCAATCCTTTTAGGCTATGAACAAGAGACTGGCAGTAAGCTTGAGAAATCTCTGTACACTACACATGCTTTATTGCTTCAATAAGTTCTGTAAGGGTGTTTTACGGTTGGAATTGAATATCTGTCATCATATCTTTTTCCAAATGGGTGACAAAATACATTTAGCATGTGCAGAAAATTCTGCACGTGCAAATAGTGCAGAAAATTGCTGCGCACTTGACTCGTTGGAAAATAACAGTGTACTCCTCTGTCGTTTGTTCCAATTCTGATATTGTCAGGTGAAAGTCGGTCTTTTTTTCATACTTTGAGTAAGTCGAGGTTTCCTTGCAGGTGTATAAGAAAATAAACCATAACCTTTAGTCAAACATCTTGATATAGTAATCGAACTGATGTTGGTGCCTTCTGCAGCCAGAGTATCTCTAATTTTTCTAATTTTATTGCAGGAGGTTGCTGGACATCAAGTGATTATCCTTCTTATCGCACGATTATTATGTGCACAAGTTTTTCTTGGGAGATTGCTTCTCTTAACTCTTTCGCATCGAGAGACGACCAAATCTGTTTTCATCAAACATCGAAAAAGCCCGTGTTTACGAATTTGTCTTGGAATAGTTTTCCTTTTTCCCTCTGCCTAGTAGATAGGTACATTAACAATAACCTACTTAAGTAAAATGACTGCTTCTCTCTTGGGGATTTTTCAGCGGTTCCACCCATTGTGTGCAGTTTCACCTTAGGGCCGGATTGCACCTGCAAACGTCAATAGCTTTCCGTATTTCTCCTTTAGTTGCTTCAAAAGAATGATTGACATGTCTTAACAACTCGAGAAACCAATGAGCCATACACTAACGTGGAGGGAAAGCACTAGGTAGAAAATAAACGAGGCGTTGGGGCGCTTTGCCGTTGCCTGAATGAACGGGCGTTACGGGCGACTTCAATGCCAAAGAGTTAAGATCCATATAATTTCCGAAATTTTGAATTTACTGATAGATTGATGCACACCTTCTTGCTGATATTTACCTTCAAACTTATTTCACATTCAGAAAAGCCAGCTTCATGCAGGGCCACTATTTTTGTCCATTTTTCAACAGTAAGTGAAGGTGTTTTTTACCCATTACAATAATTATACAACAGCACTGTGCACACAAAATACAATAATGAACTACAGATAAAGGAGACCACATTATGTTTATACCGTCTTTTTCTGAAAATAAGACACTGTCTTACTTTCTTTTTTGGTCCAAAATACACGCTAGGGCTTGCTTATTTTCGGGGGAGGGCAAAAATAAAAGTATATTTATATATTTTTATTTAATATTTATTTTACACAGAATACAGAAATTTAAATTTATTCAATTACAGTTGTGTCATCTTCTGGAACATCGTCATAAATAACATTCTGAATTATATTCCGATTTTCTTCCAAATCCATTTCCTGTTGAATCATTGGTCTGAATCTCTCATGTCTTGCGATCTAGCTATCGTTAAATGAATACTTCTTGTTTAAGTAACCTGTTCGTAATGCATTGGAAACATCACTATCAGTTTTTTGTCCCATGAATTTTTTACCCATCAATCACCCCTTTTGATTTTCGACTCATTCTGTGAGGGTTGGAAAAAGGTCGCTGCGTCGTATGTGTCTCGAGGGTTACGGTTCAGCCCAAATTTCACCCCGACAAGAGTCTGACGACGCTAACGGATGACGATGCCTTTCCTGTGAACGTATCTCTCTCAGGGCAAACGGTGAACTGGTTAAGATAAATTCCAAGAACTAATTTGAAACGAACTGTAGAGGTAAACAATTAATTTCTTGGAATATTTTGTTTCAAACATTTCTCTGAAATACGAGTATTAGGAAAGCTAAACATATTATTACTTATACTTAATAAATCAACAGCATTTTTAACGAATCCTTTTTGTCACATTATTTTAACTGAGGATTATTTTCGGATGTCTTATTTTACAAAAATTTCCGAAAATCACGATAGGGCTTATTTTCGGGGGATGTCTTATTTTACAAAAAGTTCCAAAAATCACGATAGGGCTTATTTTCGGAGGATGTCTTATTTTCAGAAAAAGACTGTAGCAGTAGAAAGCGTCTGATGCAGTCACCGCATGAAATGGCACGATAACGAGCGAAAATGGTGCAGTCTGTTAAAATACAGGAAAACGTGACTTTTGCACATGACTAAATTGATCTAAGATCGGGAATCAACAAAGTAGGTTTGATTTTGGATATTTGCAGTGCTCCACACTTATTGTTCCATTTAAGGCAAATCTCAAGTTTTAATCTTTTTTTTTTTTTTTTTTTTTTTTTTTGTTTTTTTTTTTTTTTTTTTTTTTTTTTTTTTTTTTCAAAATATGACAGCGAAACAGATAAATAGCAGTTAACTTTTATCTTTCATCATAAAAACTAAACTAGCTTATTGAGAATTAATCAAGTTTACATTAAGGCAAAGATCTTATGATTGTATTGTGATGTCAGACTTATCCATTATTAGTACTAAATCAAGTTATTTGGTGACATTTATTGTTTATTCCGAGTCATTGTTTTCTTTATACATTTAGAATTCGGGAATTGCCCATGACAAAAAGTCTGCAGTAGAATTTTGGGTAAAGTGCAGAATCATGGATACATCAACTTATTTTCACTTCCAAAATAAAAATCCCATAATTGCACAAAAATGACACTGCACACATCCTTGACTTTATCTATGTACACATCGACCTATTTTCCCTTAAAATGTAAAAGAAAATTGACAAAAATCCAATTGTTTTTAACCTTTTAAAAAGCGGCAAACAAATAAGTGGGCGATTCTGCACTTTGCTGAGAATTTTTTCAAAGAAAAGGCATCATTCATTATAGAATATTATGTGTGAACAACCAACGAGATGAAACTATGCTTTAGCGATAACTCGGTAGTGAAATAGTAATGCAGGCATCCATTCAGTTATGTTTAGCAATTTTTGTATAAATTATAATAATGATCTGAAATAGTTGTTTACTCTTATGCTTCCATTCAGTCATGTTTAGCCTTTTTTGGCTAATCTTTGGAATATGGGAACAGGTAGTGTGGCTGCATTTTGGTAAGGCGATAAAGGTTACTAGCTAGGACTTTAGCAGTGTACATGCATAAAGTCAAGAGTGTGTGCAATGCCATTTTTGTGCTATTTTGGGATTTTTTTTAAGTGAAAATAGGTCGATGGGTACATGGATACCGTGTATGTGCAATTCTTAAAAACGCGGCAAGCAGTGGGCAATTCTGCACTTTCTCCCAATTTCGCACCTAATCTTCGTCATGATTAAGCACTTTTGTTTCATAAAAGTTCTAGTATAAGCATAATTCGGGTAGCAGACTGTTGGAAAAAAATGTTGAGTAAAAAAAAAAAAAAACATGCCTTTACTTCGTGAAAACAAAATGGCATCCAGAAAAAAAAGTAGCAGGTTGCTGTAGCAGGGTTGGTCGCCAAAAAATCGCCAAGTTACCATGATCCGAAGATTAACCCCTTTTTTATGTAAATTATTTATAATAAAAAAGTATTATATGAAATTAACCTTTCATCTAAATCAAAACATCAATCTTGGATAGTTATTCACTATTATACTTCCTTTCTTGTGTTAGGGTTGCTGCAGTTATTTTTGGCAGCACTGGCATCAACAATAGTTTGGCGATTTTTTACGGCCCTCAAAACCGAATAGTACCAAAAAAGCTTGTAAAATCTTGCAGTTGCTTGAAAGCCGAATAGTTATATTTTTACTATAATAGTCCTTTCTTCAGTTTTCTGTATGTAGGTTTTTTAATATTATTGATAATTATTTTAAGGTATGTTTTATTTTTCTTGTCCTATATTAAGCTTGAACTTTCATTAAAGTAAAAGGCAGTAAACTTTATGAGTTGTAAATGACCTATCCCTTACTCCATAAAGCTACGTTTTGATAACTCATCACTTCAATCCACATTATATTCTTACTCTGTGTATATAAAAAAAAATTCAAATTATATTATATGGTGAATTGATAATGTAATAGCTTTGATTTATATCAAACAGTTTTTTTTTTTTTTTTTTTATTATTATTGTTATTTTTTAACATTATAAGGTATTTCTACTGCCTTCCTAGCATGCCTTTGTGGTATAGTGGTTCTGCATGCTGGGCCGGTATTCCAGAGGTCTGTGGTTCGAATTCTGGCAAAGGAGTTTGCTAATTTTTCATTACTCCTGCTTCCAAAAAATACCTTATGTCTCTATAACATTATGCTTCATTATGTAATTTTGTTTTAAACATAATGACTATTAATATTTTTTTCCTTTGCATATGTGGTAAAAACATGTTTGTTTTATAAAAAGATTTAGATTTCAAACAGTTTAAGAAATGCATGTAACTAAGAGATTTTATATTTGTTTGATGTTAATGTGTAGTCTTTGTATTATTATAATATTATGCATCTCTGTTTGATATTGATTTAATGTATTTTTGTGTAAAGGTATCGCAGAAGGTCTCGTAGTAGATCTCGTAGCTCTTCAGGAAGTTTAGACAGAGTCAGGAGGAGGAGAAGTAGAAGTCGAGACAGAAGGGCTCGAAGTCGTGATCGACGATCAAGAACTCCAGAAAGATTCAGACGATCAAGATCTCGCGATAGAAGGAGGTAATATTGGTGGTACTACTAGCCATTTGAGAAAACATTTCCATAACCAAATATTTTAGAACATATAATATTATATGTACAAGAATAATAATAGTTATTTATTCATGTAACAGCTGATGGGTTATGATAGGGGTTCCGAAAGTGAGCACCGTCACTCCTTGGGGCAGCGTGAAGAGTAAACAGGGGTGCCGTGAGAGGCTTCTGTTTACTCTTTTATGGAATCTAAATTCAAATTGTGTGTGCTGCATAAGTCGCTTGTTACGTAGGAAACCATCAACACCGCTCTTCTGCTGCATATGGAATTCAGGTTGGGTTTGGCTATGCCAAATTCTTTGCTAGCCGATGCGAGAGATTTCCAGAAACCCGCATTCAACCATCACGTCACATCGATAGGAGTTGTTGCAGGTGCTCATTAGTGGTAGTATAAGCCACCGTAGGCTACATTGCTAAGTTAGTTTATTCTAAGCAGTTAAATTATTGTGTTGAATACAAGTAGTAATAAAGTGTTCTTGATAGTGATACAGAGGATTGTGATTCATGAACCCACGACAGGTAAACATTGTAATATCTATTTAAACATATATATGTAAGCAGATCGGTTGCTTTGTATTGGAAGTTTTTGGATGCTGTTAAGGAATTTTGTGTGCCACAGAGGTAAGTGGATATTTGCTTTGTGTAATGCTTAAATGCATAATGTTAATGCAAAATCCTTTTTTTATGTTATTTTATTGTTTGGTTTAAAATGTTGTTTATTGAGATTACGTATTTTTGTTTGCCTTCTACTGTAGAATTGGGTGCTCCTTTTACTTTTTAAGTGAAAATATATAACAATGTGTACATGGACAAACTCAAGGGAGTGCGCAAAGCCTAGTTCGTGCAATTCTCTGATGTTTCTTTAAGTGAAGATAGATCAATGTGTACATGGATAAAGTCCAGAGAGTGTGCAATGGCATTTTTGGGCTTAAGTGAAAATAGGTCAATGTGTACACGGATACCGAGTTTGTGCAATTCTTTGTCTTGTTATTTTGGCTTTGTGTAGCAATGATACCGCCAAAAATCGCCAAGGGGTACCCTAAAATATACTTTTGCCGAAGTAAATAATGAAGAAAAACCACAATGTATGCTCTGTTTCAAAATTCTATCATCTGAGAGTATGCTCCCAAGTAAGCTAAAACAACATCTGAAGACCATTCACCTTACCATGGTTGAAAAATTGCACAAATGTTTTAGAAGTTTAGCATGTTGTTTTAGTAGTACAAAAGTTGCAAAATTTACAAAAACAACAAGCTTCAGTACCCAGCAATGCACTGCTAGCATCTTTCAAGATGGCATACAGAGTGGCAAAGTGTGAGGAACCTCGCACCATCTTGGAAAAACTTATTTTATGGGGCTCGATTTGGTTAAATATTGTTGAAAAATAATTATGAAGAATGCAAAAAGATACCTTTCTATAATTGTTAAAAAAAAAAAAAAAAAAAAAAAAATTCAAAAAAAAAATTCAGTTACCAATTTAAAATGAAGGCAAGCGCCTGGAAAATGTGTGGAGTTGAAATCAAATGAAGGCAGGTATTTGTTTGCACCATTTCGGATAAAAGCTATGTTGCGTGCATGAAGGCTGGCAAAAAACACTTGCATCGACGTCGATTAGCTGTGAAATGAATTTGGTATTGGAGCAAACTACATAAATACTAGGCCATTGAAAGCCAAACTATTAAAAAAAACTTTGCATGGACTTGGGAGCTGAAAACACATCCCTGGTATAATATATATTACTGCAGTTCATGATAGCTTTCACATAGAAATGTCTTCTCCCATGCATCCAAGCTACGTCAAGAAACTCACACTTTTCTGCAAGAGGAAGGACATGCAATCTCCAGATGCTTTGCTGAACCTGACTTTTAACTAAAACTGGCATTTGTACGATATATCTGACAAACTGCATGCTTTGAATCTGTCTCTGCAAGGCAATAATATGCAGATCTTGAAACTGCTGGAGAAGATTGCTGGGTTAGAGTAGAGAAAAGGGTACCCTTTGTATTATTGTGAAGTTGTTGTTTCATTTATCGCCAAGTGGTGGTTAATTTATGATAGACTGAGTAGTTGAAGCTATGGAAACCCTATTATGACGTAATCGGTTGCATGATTGCAGTAAATTTGTAAAGGCCTGTCGTGTGTTGGTTAACCCTTTGCGGCACACTATACTTTAACGTCGGAACTTCAACAAAAAAGTTGTATGCAGTCTATTTAGTCCTAAAGGCGTATGCAGGAAAAATTTTGTAAAAATTGCACGTACCGATTTAATTCTGTGGGTGTTCCATGAGGTGGAATACTGCGCCGCCATAGCTTTTAAAAGTGCGACTAAGCGAGCATTGCAGTGAAGCACGAAAATAAGTAGAAGCGTTTGTATAAGAATGAAAAAACTCTGTATTGTGGCTGTATGCATGGTTTCCTGGATATACACAATATTCTTGACTATATACGGATAAATGAGATAAATATCTGTATACACAAGTCCTATATACAAAAATATTTACAAATTTTCCTATTTCTTAGCTTCGTGAAATTGTTCAAAGCAAGTCACACCTTTTTGATGGAAGCACAAACCAACTATGATTAAAATAATTAACTACGATTAATATTAACAATAAAGAAAAATAAGCCTATAATATATACATACATAAAAAATATCTACACAATTATTGATGGTGTGTGGTGTATTTAATTACGGCAAAGCACACTAGGGCTATCTGCCAAAGAGGAGGGATGCCTTGCCTTTCGTGGAGGACTTTCTAAGGGAAACTGGCTCGTATACACGTTACACATGGGGAAAACCACGAAAACAACCATGCAGCCAGCCCGTTCGTGGGATTCGAACCTCAGACCGAACTACCAGTGTTCAGCGACTTTACCGCTTGGCCGCTGGTGGGCCTACACATTATTGAAAATAAACGGGAATGAGACTAAAAGGCGACAGCAAAAAATTTGCGCAGGTCTAAGTAAAGATGAGTCAAGCTACTAATAAAATTCCTGCCAAAAAACTACTCCCAAAAAATTCGAGATGCCAATATTAGGGCTTTCATAACACAAAACACACCTCAGCTCTCAATACTGCTTTGTTTGAATTCATCCCCCCCCAAAACAACGGAAACAGAAAACGTAAACAACGGATGTTCTCTCCTAAGCACAGATGGGTAAAAGTATAGTTTAGGGTACCCCTTGGCGAAACTTGGCGGCATATGGATACCGATTTTGTGCAATTCTTTGACTTGTTATTTTGGCTTGCGAAGCAGCGATTTTTAGCGCAAAAATCACCGCTACACAAAGCCAAAATAACCAGAAAAAACAATTGCGCAAACTCGTTATCCATGTACACATCGAATTATTTTCACTAAAAAAAAATCCCCGAATTGAACAAAAATGTCATTGCGCACTCCTTTGACTTTATCCATGTACACGTCGACCTAATTTCACTTAAAAAAAATACCAGAATTGCACAAACTTGTATTGCGCACTCCCTTTATTTTGTCCATGTACATATCGATATATTTTCAGTTAAAAAGTCAAAGGAACACCCAATTCTGCAATATTGGCAAACAAAAAATACATAATCTCAATAAAATACATTTTAAACCAAAACAATAAAATAACATAAAAAAGGAAAAACATATTATACATTTAAGCACTAGCAAAAGCAAATATTCACTTACCATGATTTTCGAGTTCGCTTCGTACACCCAGAGCCACGTAAAAATCAAAATATGAGTCATAATCAAGTGACGTTTTTCAAACCAGGTACTCTTTCTGATCGAACGCTTCACATAGTGACCATCTAAACCTTTCTTCCTACAAACCCATTCAAATCCATCTAAACAGTTTTTACGTTCGACTAGACACATATCCTTCCTACATACAGGACACTTATAATGGCTACTAAGTAAACCTTCATTTACACACCAGTCAATTAAAGCTCTTTTCCCCTTTCGCTCCAAATCGTACAGAAACTTCAAATTAATCTTACTATGTTCGGCCGTTCTACCGTCTAAAGAATCAAAGCAACACACCACAAAAACGCTTACAAAACATTCCCTGATTCAAAATTTCCCAGAATCATGCACCTGATTACATCACAATAGGGTTTCCATAACATTCAACTTCTCAGGCTACCATAAATCAAACAACTTCGCCATAATACAAGGGGTACCTTAAAGTCTACTCTACCCGCATAGATGTTCTGATTCGTTACAGCATGAGATCGCTAAAGGCGCAGTGTTCCCGCTAATGGAACACCCAGTTTTATTTAATGATTCTGCGTATGGTTTTTGTATGAAAGATAAAAAAAATATAGAATAAATAATTTGTAGTACAGCCAGCAAAATTATGCCTAATTTTTTTTCCAAATAAAATTTTTTATATCATTAAAAAAATAGAGAAAATTACTTGAAAAAAGTGGATTTTAATAACACATAATAAATGAAAATTCTGTGTCTCCTTGTGATATGCTGCTATCTACTGTTTAAAAAGAAAAGTTCAAAGCATATTATAAAGGCATTTTTATCTATTTACGGTTGAATTTAAAGGTTTCAGAAGCGATTCAATTTGGGTGTTCCATGTAGTGGAACACTGAACCACGAAGGCTTAAAAAGTACATTGCTTGTGTTCCTATTTAGACGATAAAATGGCTGAATGTGGTAAGATTAATTGGAAGTTTCTGTATGATGGGGAAAGAAAAGAGAAAAGAACATTACTTGATTCGTGTGTAAATGAAGATTTACTTAGTAGCCATTATTAAATATCCTGGTTGTAGGAAGGAAATGCGTATGGTCGAACAATACGGCACTTGGAGGATATTTTTAACTCTTATTTTGTGAATTTATGTGGTGGCGCCAGTATACAGATTCTAGTTCAGATAATTTTAGGAAGTTTTTAGATGCTGTTAACGATTTTGTTTGACTGAAGACGTGTTAATTTGTAAATAAGGTAAATGGATATATCCTTTGTGTAGTGAAAAGATGAATTTCCTTTTTTATGTTATTTCATTCTTTGATTTAAAATGTAGTTTATTGAGATTATATATTTTTTGTTGGCTGTTCCTTTGACTTTTTGAATATAGATCGATGTGTACATGGACAAAGTCAAGGGAATGCGCAATGCCTAGTTATGCAATTCTCTGATGTTTTTTGAAGTGAAAATAGGTCGATGTGTACATGGATACCAAGTTTGGGCAATTCTTTGACTTGTTATTTCGGCTTTGTGTAGTGGCGATTTTTGCGCTTTGCTACCCAATGTGATGATGAATTTTTGGTGGAAAAATCGCCACTACACAAAGCCAAAATAACAAGTCAAAGAATTGCACAAACTCGGTATCCATGTACCACCAAAAATTGCCAATTATCGCCAAGGGGCATCCATAAATAAATTTTTACCATTTCACTCTTTTATAGTGTTTCAGCATTACAGTAGCAGTCTGATTTATGATGTAAGATTACTGTAGCCATTACAGTGATCAAAATGTGAAAAAAACTCAATTATCAGTTATATTTGTGCTGTTTAACTTAAGGTTCTCACAGATTGTATGTTATTTGTGTAACAGATATTTTAGTCATTTATGTAATTAATTTTTAGCTTCTAATAATCTTGGTTTTGTCATTTTTCCCCTTTACTGTTTTAAGTCTTATGACAATGTATTAATATTGAGTTGTAAAAAAAATATTTTTGAGTGAAATTTTCTTATTGCTTTTCTAAAGAACTATTATGTTACACCTTTTAGATCAAAAAGTCGATCTCGGGATAGAGATCGTAGAAGGAGATCACGATCACGGGGTCGAGAGAGAAGATCACGTTCTCGAGATCGAAAAGATAGATCACGGAGCCGAGATCGTAGAGATCGCAGTCGGGATAGAAGAGGCAGTTCCAGAGATAGATCTAAAAAAGATAAAGAGGAAAGGCGCAAAGAAGAAGAAAATAAAAATTCGGAACAAATTGGAGAATTGAAATTTGATTTGCTTGACAAGGTTAGATAATCATTGAATTCATTACTTAGCTTATATGATGAAAATGGTTATAGATGTAGAAAATGTTGTTTGTTCCAAAAGAGATATTCAGTGATTTTCATTGTTTAAATTATTTTTGGCAAACAAAAATGCCAAACTTATCAGTGAAACTGTATGCATGATTTCGCTTTGCAATTTGTTTGCTATGATAATAAAAGCATTGTCTGGAATTTTTCCCTTTCTTTAATATAAATGTGTGAAAAACATATTGCATATTATTCCTTAGATTCAAAAATAAAAATTTTAAATAGTATATATGCATCTTTTATGAAGCATTAAAAAAAAAAAAAGCTGTATGTGTAAAAGATATATATGTATGTGTGTAAGATAAAAAATATGAAACTCAAAATTGCTCATTTTAATTTGGGTACTTCCCTTCTCTATTCTAAAAATAGTAATCTGAGTAATCTAAACTGTGCAATTGAAAAACTAACCTACATTATGACATCTGCATTGCGTAGAGCACTTGCTCAATCACCATTCGAAACTTAAGCAAAGAGTTCCAGTCTTATTATTGGCCTTGCTGAAATGCACATTCGTTTTTTCTACTAGCTGCTTGCTGTATTTTCTATTGTTTAAAATTTTACGAGTGTATATAGAATTGTGAGATGATTGTTGTATCCATAGTGATGTGAAAAATCAAAAATATATATCCTAAGAAATTATTTTTCATGAATGCATGATTATCCAGCTGATTTTTCAGTTTCAGGAATGCATGAATATTTAGCATAAGTTATGCATTGAATGTCCAGATAATTGTGGTTTCCATCTATTATGTATCATATTTGTGTGTGAGCTACATCTTTAAAACATCTCAACCATTAGTAAAAAATAACTGGTACACCATCTACAAAATTATGTGCAAATCATACTGTCACCTGTATGTCACTCAAGGCTCTTGCCACCGATAGGTGCAATCTTGTGCTCCTTTCCACGATAAATTTCGTGGGCTTGTTCTGATGTTACTGTCAGATAAATGAGATAAGTCACAGCACATATATAAAATCATTACATATAGATATGTAAAATATAAAATGAAACAGAAGTATTAAACGTAATTGAAACCAATTGGCAATAGACCTTTAAATTCATAAATTATAATTAAAAACATCTCTGCTTGAATGATGCACTTTGCATCATTTTTCATCATTCTTTGCCTGCGATTTCTCTGCCCTGCAAAAATTTTAGCCCAGTCACTGCTCAGGATTCGAACAAAAATATTCCAGCTTTTAAATATGACCGCAGTTGTATGCATCACTTTTCTCACCTGTTGCTGCCTGTCTCTCACTTTGCCTTCTTTCTCTATTGTTTAGAAAAACTGGAGTGTGTATTTAAAAATTTTGGAGAGCAGATCGCCCCATTATGCTTTGCTACCCAATGTGATGTTTGAACAGTGAAATTGTGAAGTAATAAAGATGTATTGTGCTTATCCAAGAATTTTATGGTTCTTCTAAAAGTTTATGACACCTTTTACCCCGTCTGCATTGTGCATCATATCTATAGCATGATCAAATTGTTCATTGGTTTCATCTTCTGCAGAAACTACAACATTGCACATACACACACACACACAAATATATATATATATACATATAAAGTAATTTTGCTATGTTTTTTGTGTTAATGTAAATCTGGATTAATTTGCATTTGTATATTTCTATTACTGCATGGGCTTATCAAATTTTTACTATAAGGATTGGAATTTTAATACCAAACAGCTATTTTTTTTTTTTTTTTTTTTTTTTTTTTTTTTAAATATAGTTTTAAAGCAAATATTTATTTGGTACTATCCGATTAGCTGCACCATCCCTTCCAAAAAGTTGCCAGCCTTTGCCAATTTAAGAGAGAAAAGATAACAGCCATTTTTAGGAATGGTAGGCAGGATAAGGATTATGTAAAATAGCACCCAATTCATAAAATAAAAATACAAGAAACATCCATTAGAAAATTGTTAGCTCCTCCCCCACCCAGTTGTCCTCCCTATGTGTACAGTAATCTATTTTAGCCTCAAGCAATGTCAAAGAACTGCAGAAACTCACCATTGTGGAACAGCTTGGCTTTGTGAAAACTTATAAAGTGTTCTGTGTATGTCCACAGGGATATATTTCTGCTTAAATAAAAGAATTATACAAATTCCCCATTGCATATACTGTTTTCACATGTCGTAATTTATTTTTGCTTTAAAAAAAGTCAGACTTGCTGAGATTTGGCATCAGCATGCAAATTTTGATGCAAAACATCTGATTGTTTATAAAGTGTAACTTCATGAAATGGGAATTTTGGTGATCTTTATTGTTAAACAAAATGAATTTTATGAGTTAATGTTATTTCTGAAAAAAATGCAAGACTTTCTTTTTCATCAGCCAGAAAATTCCACAGTCCCATTACAGTTCCTTCTAAGGGAAAAAAGTACACTCATTGTGACAAAAACACTAATGACTGTCACTTAACTACTGCATAAACACGCATGCTTAAATTGCCATATATGTACATATTAGTGATGTCATGGTTTGCTTATTTTAGCAATACAATGCTTCATACTTTTTGAGGGATGCAAATAATCAGAAAGTGCTATTTATTTTCAGTTTTACTATCCATTGATACAATCACCAGTGTTGTGTTGAACCCATTGCCATTGATACTGAATTTACAGGATGCTTTTATCAGTGACTTTTCTGTGCAAAGTTTGAATCAAACGTCCATTGTCTGAAGAATTTCTGGAACAGATCTAAAACAAATACCATGAAATAGTTCTATCTTTTAGGATTCTGATCGCAGTGGCAAAGTTCAAGGCGTGTAATGGATGGAAAAACACTTTTCAGCCCAATCTATTGAATAAACCCAACTTTGTTCTGCATGCATATAAGCAATGTCTATCAGAATATTGAGTGGGTTTTGAACAAAGTTTGGGTGCCTGGTGAACGAAATTAAAGGTGGTTACAGATTGTGTTCTGAAAATTAACAATAATGTTTTTCATTTCTGGAATTGTGTCAGTGTTCTTGCTCCAAAAATGAACAGTAATAATAGCAGCCTGTCCATAAGATATGGTATTTATTAGGATTACATCATGTAGTACTTTTCATTAATAGGACAACAGTGGTGACCAAGCATAAATGGCACAAAATATTGATTCAAATAGCAATGACAACTTTTACTATGTATTCAAGATTCATCAGTACATGAAATGTAATTGTACATAGATGTTTGAGAAAAACCTTATAAAGTGTTGTGAAATAAATAATTCCATCAAGCCAATTTTAGATTTTGCCGTCCTTTCTCCTCTTAGCATAACCAGTGGCTGTATGTAATTTATTTGTTGTTTTAGCATTAATATACAACTTCATTCTGTGGTTGAGCAAAATTTTCATTATAGATAATTTCTTTCCTCTAAGAGGAATGGTAGACTCTTAATCATTTGGCAATTTCCAATTGTGAAATTGGTCTTGGTTCCTATGTTAGATTCCCATACCAAATAAATAAATAAAATAAAATAAGATCAAAACTTATATCCTAATGTTTTGTAGTAGTTTTTGGTGTAAGATTGCTATTATTCCTGTGTTCAAAACTTGATATATCCTAATGTTTTGTAGTAGTTTTGGGTGTAAGATTGCTATTATTCCTGTGTTTGTGCTCATTTTGATTGCTGCTTCATAAATTTAAAAGCTTTAATCATCATCAGGCTTTAAAATGCTATGTATGTATTATATTTGCATCTTGCATTTTACTTCAGTGGCTGTATAAAATTTCTGCTTTATTGAGTGCTATATCAATAAATTGGCTGCTGTATCATTATTTGTGTTAAAATTTCCTAGATATTTGTTTTCTGGTTAGCTAAGCAGTCATAAATATAAGTAGCAAACTTGGATACAGAATGTGAGAAAGAAAATTTTAAGTTTCTGTAGTTTGGGTTTAAATTCATTTCATGTATAACATTCTTTGCATACTAAACTTTCAACAGCAGTTTTATTAAGTGGACTAATCAGTATTTAAATTTATGTTGGTTCATTCTTGGTAAATAAATTACAAATTTTTTCATATTAATTTTTCTTTTATTTTAATTTCTATAATAGTTTTCATTTTTTATTATAAATTTGAAATCCAAAAACATATTTCTTTTGAAAGTGTTATAAAAGCAAATGCTATTATTTCTTTAATTAAATTTATGAAATTCTGTTTATGATTAGGAAGCCCAAAACAAACAGCTTGAGCTTGAAATGCAAAGGAGACGAGAAAGAATCGAGAAATGGAGAGCAGAGCGTAAAAAGAAAGAAATAGCCGAAGGAACATCCAATTCAGCTGTTGTCTTGCCATCTGTAAAAAAATGGACCTTGGAAGATGATGATGATGAAGATATTCCCCCACCTACAGAATCAGACAAAAATGACACCACAGAGGAGAAAATGGAAAAGAAAGAAATTAAAGAAGAAGAAAAGGAAAAAATGGAAGTTGTTGAAGAAGATGATGTTGATCCTCTTGATGCTTTTATGCAGGTACTGTATTTTAAAAATCTCATACAAGATGGTTTTGTTATTTTCAATCATATCATAGATAAAATTCATATTAAAGCATTGATGACTATATGAATTGGTTATATTCTATATAAATTTATTACAAAATTTGCAATAAAGTTATTTCAGTCACTTGAAAACAGTGTCTTGGCCAATATCTATTTTAAGATACTTAAGAATCCTCACTATTATAGATTTCTAATTATTATTCATATCATTTCTGACCAGTCAGGGAGCAAAACTCATCAACATCAAAATGCTTTTTCTTTCAAAATTACAAAAAAAAAAAAAAAAAAAAAAATATTTAGAATTTTAAAATTATTTTCATTAGGAATAGCTTCCATTGATAACAGAAGTGAAATATCTTAATAATAAATTATTAATTGTCTGAAGTTGAAAGAATAAAATTTGTGAAGTACCTTTGTTAAGGATTCCCCCTTATAAATCTTAAAAGAGAAATATTAATCATTTTGTTTTTCTTTTTTCAGGGTATTCAAGAAGAAGTTAAGCAACTGCGTCATAAAAGTGTGAAGAAGGAAGCTGGAGAGGTAAAATAAACTAAAACATACATTATTTTGTTAACTCCACGAATAGATGTGTTTATCATTTACTGATTTTAGATTTTATATTCGATTTCATTTCTTAGAAAGAAAATAAATTCTTTCTCAATTAGCTCAGGTATTTTTTTATAATTAATAATATATTGCTGTCCATTAAAATTGCTGCTACCTAAAAGAAAAACATAACAAATTAGATATCTTCATGAAAAGCAAAGCATGCTAGGGTATGTAAATGTATAGCATTTTATAGCATGGGCACATTACAGGTAAGAGTAATAACACCTCAAAGCACTCTAAATAGGCAAACTGAAAAGCCAGTTTTTTCTTTGAAAACCACGTTTACTTGGTTTTCATATCTGAGTTTTTGTATGAAAGGAATTCACACCAGTATGTCTTAGAATTCTTAGTTGTGGGAGAATCATACATTACTGGTACGGCTGGCTGATTATGGTTCCATTCCTCAGCAGTTTTCCGGAAAGCAGTTGGGGTTGGCTTATTTCTTTGTTAATTACATTGAAAAGCTAGTAGTGTTTATTTTACTTCATATAGATTTTGAATGCACACATTCAATTTCTGCTAAATAGGTCCTATATTTGGATATACAAATTTCAGAAATAAAGTTCCATTTGTTTTTCTCTGACATCAGTTTTATTCAAAATTTGTACATTTCTGAACATATTTAAATTCCATAGTGCTACTTTTTATGTGTCTGTTAACAAATTTGCTTTCTTTTTCATTAAAAATGAAAATTTGTTGTCATGATTAAACTCTGTAACGTTAATAGATCTAATTTGAAAATGGGTAGATCTGTCAAACTGCCTTCTTTCCTTGAATAGTACCTTCATAGCTTTACATGAAAGAAGGTACACTGTGTAAAAAAAGGGGGGGGACAGTTCTATATCTCCCGTTCTACTGGGCCAATTGATGAAACTCAACTTGCGTTTTCATGTCTCGAAAGCGCAACTTAGGATATGTATTAGATTTATATAGAGAGTACTGGGTGTTTTGATACAAAATTGGACTTTTCTTGAAATAACATACCAATTTTTTTCCATATTTCGATTCTACGACTCAAATTGCGCCAAACTGCCAAGTTTTGTAAAAAATCGCGTGTAGTTTTTAAAAAATTAGCTTTCAAAATTTTAGTTAATTGAGTATGGTATATATTTATGAATCTCTCTTTTTTTATGAAACTTATTTGATTCTTCCTTTTACAATACAAAATTTAGGTTCATTCCTAATAAACTTCACCTATTTTTTATGATTTATTTTTAAAATTTGTATTTTTAATTTTTCAAAAAAAATTTTTTAATTGTAATCTATGAAATGTTTACCTTCATCGTGAAGTAGACATATATTTCTAAGCATATCTGCAAAAAATTACAGTGTTTTAGATATACGTGAATTTATATATTGATGCGTTTTGAAATTTGGCATATTTGTTGAAAGCGATAAAATGTCAGATGTGGTTTAGACACTTTGCTAAAATTATTTGGAAGAAGAAACGATGTGACTTTTTTTCCACTCATGCACAATGTAAAAAGGTAGGAACGAGGTCCTTCTTTTCCGCTCCAGCATAATGGAAAGGAAAGGAAAATTGGTTGCCACATATTAAGAGGTTCGTCAAATGAATTGTTCTTGGCACAAACTGAAAAAATTGTACAAAATTTAATATCTAGGCATACTTTGAGTCGTAGAATCGAAAAATGGAAAAAATTAGTATGTTATTTCATAAAGTCAGATTTTGTGTCAAAATACCTATGTTAGAACAATGCTATATATAAATCCAATATATATCCTAAGAGTCGCTCTTTCGAGACATGAAAAACACAATTTGAATTTTGTCAATCGGCCCAATAGAACGAGAGATATAGAACTGTCTCACTCCGCCCCCCACAGTGTACATAAGATTATTTATTTGAACTCTTTAATATAATTCTTCCTCTTAAAGAAACTACTGATCATGTTTGTTATCACTTTAATTCATACAATGAAGCTTAGTTAAAACTAATTCTTCAAAAGCAGTGGGCATAAATAAATTGATTTGAAAGTTCATCTCTAAATAAATCAAAATATTGGTATCAAAAATTCTGTGTGCAAAGATATTGCCAAATTCATTTTTTTTTCATTTGTTAGGATTATTAGAATGATGGAATCAGGACAATTAAAAACTGAAATTTGCAGAGTAGTGCATTATGCCACAATGAAAAGTTATCCAAGAGTTAAACCCCTATTCATGAGCAGCATCTAGCTTTAATTTCGCAAAGTCTCAAGACATTGTTTATATGTAAATTCTGTGAATAGCCAACTGCTTTTTATGAAATTGTGTGCTAGAACTCAATAAACTCTGTTCAAAATACTTTTTGCCCAACTGTATATACACCCTGCTGAGTCATGAATATTGAAACTAGATTCTAAATTACTAAAGCACTCTGAGGTTTCTTGACAAGGCCATTATTTGTTTGTAGGCTTATTAGGTGTATTGAAAGAATAAGGTATGCTTCTTCTTGACTTGAGAAAAAAAAAAAAAAAAAAAAAAGAAGATTAAATATTAGGGTGATGATTTGATAAAATAATTAATGTAATGTTAAATTGATACAGAGGGTTTGATAATTTTTATGCAGTTATGTTAAAATGTATAAAGATGTAGAGATGTACACTCTGCAATTCTTAAAAACTTTTTTTTTTAATGCCAAACATCTTTTTTTTTTTTTTTTTTTTTTTTTTTTTGTGTGTGTGTGTGTGTGTATGGGCAACAATAGCTTTTAAATTTATTGAATTTAAAACTGTTGATAATTTTCCTGAAATGGAAGATAGGCAGTAATGTCATGGTTGCTTTGTATGAATCTCAGTGCTAGGAGGTGACTGCAAAACCATTTAAGACCTGAAAAGAAATCTACTTCTTCACTACTTGGGGCTTTTTACACTTATGTTTTCTACAGACATCCTCGTAGTAGACAAAGAAACTTTTTGAAATATGTTTGCCTACAAAAATGAGCTACACTTCATATTAATGTAATATTATTATGGTATTGTATATTGGCTAACTAGTGTATGAAATAATGAGAAAAAACTTTTTTGTAAGTTTTCTGCAAACATAGAAGCTAGCAGACAACAAATATTCATAAAGTAGTTGATATTCTGATTATATTCCTGACATTGAGAGTATTTTTCATATTAAATCTGAAATCTGAACTTTAAATCAAAGTATGCCATTATACACAAAACATTGTGCCATTGATCACTTCTCATTTCAAATTTCTTTCCGTACTAGCAGTTCTTTCTTGTACCAACATCCACCGCTACTTTCACACCCGGTTACATATGCCTACTTTCCGAACTAGGATATCAACTTGGTCATTTGTTTTCCAGTAGTTGAAAAATTTAGTGGTAATTAAAAACTGGGATCCAGAAATATTTCATAAACTTTTACGAGTGTTGGGAGAAATGTACGATTGCAGAAGGATTTTTATGTTGAAGATTGATGTGCTCAGCAAAGAGTGAGTAACTTGTAAGATCAAATCCCAGAGCTCATGGAGTTCTGCTATGTACACCTTCCTGCATAGAACTTTTAAAATTCAACTGGATAGAGCAGAAGTTTCATCATGCTGTTCCAGACATTTTCTGCTGCCAATCAGGGGGTTTAAATATGCTTAATTATTTCATTTAAATAATTATTCTAAACACACACAAATTCCAGTATCAAGAAGTTGGAGTTAGTATTCCAGTAAAGATATGAATGACTTTAATTAATTACTTTTTAAATTATAAAAACATTTGCTTATAGTATATAGATGATGATCGCTGAATTTCAAGTTGAAGTAGGGTGTGGTGTTGACCATGCAGTTAAATACCACATCTTATATTATTGCATTTTACAACTTTAATATTTACTGCCTCTAAGTCCTTCATTAAAAACATTCATATTTTTCTGCGTATGAGAGAGAATATTAAATAAATTGTGTTATTTAATATTTAATATATCCTTTTCTGGTTTTCTTAGCTATAATGCTAATGAAAAAAATAATAATTGTTTTTCTCCTTATAACAGCAGCTGTATTTCTTTTATTATAATTTTGAGGTCTAACAATAGGTGGAATACTATGATGCCTACATTTTTCTGATTATGAGCCAGGTGAGTAATTCCGCAGCGGCAAACATCTATATTCTTACTTTTAACTGAGTACTCATCATGTGATCTGATTATATTCTATTCAAAGAATATGGGAATAGAACTTGGCAAGTAATTTCAAGAGCACAGTTACAATTTTGAATTGAAAGTTGGATTTTAATAATGGTATAATAACTATTTTAATGGTATAATAACTATTTGTTAAAATAATAAATGATCTTTGAGTATAGGCTACATAATTCTCATTATAAATGTATGTATTAAATAATGGCCAAGCTAGTATTTAATGTGTATGAATGTAAATCATTCTATCTTTTTAATTATGAAATATCAACAATATTGAAAATGAATTCTGTATTATATCAGTGTTGTCTGGTTTATTATGGAGAAGTGATTAAAATCCAGTGTTAACAAAAATTATAGTTTCTTTCACTGAATTTATACACTGCCACTGGATTGGTAAATATTTATCCCCCCCTTTTTTTTTCAGGAAAAAACGGGTGCTAAAGTTACTATGATTGTTGGCATGGCAAAGAAAAAGGATTCTAAGTCAAAAGGAGAACTTATGGAACAAGATCAAGATGCATTGGAGGTGTGTTAAAAATTTATATTAGTTTTACTTTAAATATTGTTATGTGAGTTAAAATAAGCGATAGTATCTAGTAAAATTTTTGTCTTATTTTGTATGCTTGTTTGACTTGTATTTACAAGTTTATTTTTAGAGGCAGGTTTTTTTTGTCAGATTTTGCAAATATACAAAAATTCTCCCTTTTAAAAATATTGTGCCTTAAACAAGAAAATATAATAAAGTCAGATAATGCATATATATATTCAACATGCGTATTTAAATGACATAAAAGAACAACTCTGACATTATGAGGAAAGCTGTTATAACATAACAGCATTATCAAATTTAATGTATGTGTTCATGATTTCATGATTTCCTTTCAGTTTTGATATTAGCTGTAATAGCTATATTATGTTAACCATTTAATATAATTTTGCTATTTGGTCATGTTTAAAATATCAAACCTGCAACATTATTTTATTTTGATTATTTTTTTTCCCTGTTATATATTTTAGTATTCTTCTGAAGAGGAAGCAGAAGATCTTCAATCAGCTATGTCTAACCTACAAGCTAATAAAAATAAGAAACTTCTTACAGTAAGCAAAGAAGATGTCACATATCAGCCATTCCGTAAAAATTTTTATGTTGAAGTTCCTGAGCTAGCAAAAATGACAATGGAAGGTCTGTATTATTTCTAAACAGTTACTATGATAAATTTTAAGCAAAATTCATTTTGTTCTATGAGAGATGTAAATGAATGTTTAAATTATTGATTTTTGATAAAGTCCTTCATTTTCTTCCTATTTGTGTAAACAATTTTAATAAAACCATTTTTAATTTCTTTTAGAGGTAGAAATATGGAGGAATGAAATGGAAGGTATTAAAGTCAAAGGAAAAGGATGTCCAAAACCAATACGAAATTGGGCACAGTGTGGTGTCAGTAAAAAGGTTTTAGAGATTTTGAAGAAGTAAGTACTTTCTACATTAATCTCATATGTTTTCTGTTTATTTTCATAATAAAAGTAATTGTAAATATTTTGTTTTTAATGTTATTGAACATATTCTTAGGCAAGGTTATGAGAAACCAACACCAATTCAGGCTCAGGCTATTCCATGCATAATGTCTGGAAAGGACCTAATTGGTATTGCTAAAACTGGTTCTGGAAAAACTCTAGCATTTTTATTACCAATGTTTCGCCACATATTGGATCAGCCTTCCTTGGAAGCTGATGATGGACCTATTGGTAAATTTAATATTAATTATATTTGCTGTATTTAGTATTCATTTTAGGTTGCAGTAGAATTCTTGTACTAAAGGTAATAAAGGCTGATGTGGCTGCCATTCCTGAAAACTCTGCTATAGTACCTATATGAAAAGCCATTGTCAGTTTTTGTAATACAGCATTAATCTTAAACCTCTTTTCCAACATAAATTTGAATTATTGCAATTTGTAAATTGAATTATTGCATGAAAACAAGTGAAATGAATATATTTGTTTTTATAATTAAATTTTACAAACACTCTCCATTCGTAAAAAGCAAATTTAAAGTTAATTAAATTTTAAATGAAATTGAACTACAAATAAATGATTAATTATTGTTGCCAACTAATCTACAATATCATTTAAATTCTGAGAGCATATGTAAATCAAGTGCAAGTTATCAAAATCTATGAATATATAATAAATGTATAATATATAATTCCAATGATTTTTTTAATCCTAAAAATTTATAAAAATGCATAAGTGAATAATTGTTGAGCAGGCAGGAGACAGACTTATCAAGGGGAAGTTGCCTTCAAACCTAACTCTTCAATTATTCAATTCGTGTTTCATCATCCATGTTTTGTGTTTCATCATCCATTTAATTTAATTTTATTATATTCTTTTGAAACAATTTTGTTTTTGTAATATATTTATCACCAGTCAACACATAATAATTTTAAAACACCATCTGTATTCTGCATTTGTAATGAGCTGTATTTAAGCTGAATTTTTAGATTTTTTATAATTAGATTCTTTAAATCATGATATTCATAGCAAAATATATTGCCATGTAAGTTATATTCTGACATAGAATATCTCAGTAGATGGGTATATTCAAGATTTCATGTAAAATTTAAGTCTTGTTTTATGGAATTTTGGCTTAGCACTTTCTGATTTTCTCACTGTCTAGGCATGGTTATGACACCAACAAGAGAACTTGCAATGCAGATTACAAAAGAATGTAAAAAGTTCACTAAGGCTCTTGGACTGCGTGTTGTGTGTGTTTATGGAGGAACTGGAATATCTGAACAAATAGCAGAGCTGAAACGGGGAGCAGAGATTATTGTGTGTACCCCAGGACGTATGATTGATATGCTTGCTGCAAATAGTGGTATGTTTAAAAAATTACTGAAAGTATTTTCATTTATTTGTACTATAACTTCATTTTTTTCAGTACTTATATTAATTCTTTTACAAATATAGTCTGTTGTTTTAATTTGCAAGTACTTTTTATATTTATTATTATTTTTTAATTAAATTTTAGGCAGAGTTACAAACCTTAGACGGTGTACATATGTCGTTCTAGATGAAGCAGATCGGATGTTTGACATGGGATTTGAGCCACAAGTTAGTATTTTCAAAAGGAAAGCATTATAATTAAATTTTATGCATATTCAACAGATTTGTGTTTGTAAAAATGTTTTATATTTATGTCATTTAAATCACTGTTGATTGAAACTTTTCAAGGCCAATTGAATAATTTAATTAGTTTTGTTATAATAATTACTATCATTTATTCCTCCCTTTCTCCCATTAAAGGTTTTTTTTATTCATATTAGAAAATTTTCTCTCTTAATTCAAGTCTGCTTGTCTCTGTTTTATAACCAGCAGTTTTTTGAAAAAAATTTCTTTCTTCTGATTCAAATTATTTTACCTATGCTTATTAAATTGTTTGTATGGCCCTGGTTCCCTTAAGTAAAATGCAAAAAATGGATTGGATAATATGAGAGAATCAGCTTGGCTTTTTTGCTTGTTAAAATCATTTATATGAAGATATAATGTTGAAAAATGCCATCAACATCACCTTTCCATCTGAGTGCTAAATTTTGAATTTTTTGGGCCTAGGTGAGTCAGGATGTTTCCATTGCATGCTGACAGACTTCCCTTCTGGTTGGAAGTGGTGACACCAGGTTTCATTCCCTGCCACTATGTGCTGCAGAAAGTTGTCACTGTCAGCCGTCTAGTGCACCAAATGCTGTAAACTGAGGCCCATTTGCTATTTCTTGTGGTGTCAAATAGTATGCGGGGTACCCATTGGCAGCAAACTTCTCGATACTTCAGATTATTGCTGACAATATTGTGAACAGTATCGATGGAAACGTTCAATTCATTTGCAACGTCACAAATGCTTCGACGGCGATTTGCCTTGATTGCCGTGTCGATGTCCGTAATCAGCTTATCAGTCACAACGTTGTGCGTCAGACCGGGCTGAGGCAAAACCGTTGTCTCCTGCAACCTTCGCTAAACATTTTCACTTGCCTTGTCACCATGGGCTTCGACACACACACGTCTCTCCGTACATAGCCACCATTCTTCAATGAATGTCCACCAGCTTACACCCTTCCAATGTTAAAAATTTAATTACAGCTCACTGATCCATTTTTGATACAGTCATATCCACACCAGCCAGTTTTGAATGAATGCCAAGTTCTTATGACTGAAGTTAGCATGCATGCGTGGTACCTACAGCTTCACTATCGCATTTGTTTCAAGAAAATCCAGTGCAAATTTTTCGCATTTAGCGCTTCGAATCACTTTCATTTGAACACACCTTGTACTTCTCACAATATTTGCTTTTCTAATAACCTTTTTTAGTTTAGTAAAGAGATTATTTTCTTGAATCTTCAGGAGGGGGGGGGACTGAATGTACATTAAGTCAGAAAAAGTGACATTTCTATATGTGCCATTGTGCTCAACAAAGTAATGGAATTCAACTTGCACCTTTCAAGTCTTGAAAGCACGACTGAGGGTATATTTTAGATTTATATATAATGTAGATTTTACATACATTGAACTTTTTCTGATGCAGTCAAAAGTCTTTAATCCGGACTCGTCGGGACTTCAGCGATTCCAGATTATAGATCATCAGTTTAAATCTGGTAAGATGGCATGCAGAAATTATAAAATTAAAAATATGAAACCATAATTTATGAAATAAAGATCAATTATGATCTAAATCTATCAAAATTTACAAAAAAAAAAAGCTTAATATTTATTTGTTTACTTTATTAAACATTTCTTTCAACTCGCGCATGCGTAAAGCATACATTACTCATAGTCGAAATTAGAAAATTGCAACCAGAAAACTATTTGATGTGTATTCGTGATATTTAGAATGACGAGGAATTTGATTTAAATCATATAAAAGAGAGTACATCAAGATGAAATAATACATTTAGTAAGGAATTATAAGCTGAATAAAATAAAAACGTCTGCCCTAAAGATAAGGATAGTGCTGACAGATCAACTTCTAGTTCATTGCTGCTGCAATGACAAGAAAATGAAAAGCAGTCTGTCTGTAAGGTACAACTAAAATTTTTAAAGAATTTGACAAAAATATACTATTTATGGGAATATAATCGTAGAAAAACTGAATATTCTTTTATGAACTCTAGAAACAAATGTTTCTGAAAGAAAGAAATTGGAAGAATAAATAATATTTTTCAAAAAATGTCTCAAAGAAATTGTGTATTCAGAACAAAAATATCTGGATACTAAAATCACATTTTGTTAAAAATTTTCACTCACTGTAGTGTGTTAAATATGCTAATGAATTCACCTAAAGGAAAAGCCGCAAGTGTTGGCTTTTTAAATTGTGAGTGAATGAAATTCAACAATCAAATGAAAAAACTTTTTTTAATTCAATTTTAAAAACTTCATGAATGGTTAGCATCGACTCTCTCTCTCGTAGTTACATTTTTATCTCAGTTTACTTATATGTTGCTTTTGAATGATGATAATGTCATCTGGTGGTAGATTGTGGAAATTGCTATCATTCGGACATCCTGACCCAGTTGCCCTCAATTTTTTTTATTTTGTAAAACTTTAACGAATTTTTTGATTAACAAACTCAAGGATTTCAAAGCAAGCAATGGCAACGTTGTACAGAAAACATTTTTATCTACAATGTGTGAGACTGTGTATCAGAAATAATAAAGATGGCTCAATTTAAAATTATTTTGCAATATTGCTCTGGTATAAGCATCATCTTTTTACTGTATGTGGTTTTTCACCATTTGGTGCCTTTGAATTTATATGTTTAATTGCTTCTTTCTACGTAACTTGATCTATCTCTTTTGTTACTTTTTTGCTTATATCTTTCAACTTGGCTGTGATATGAGGTGCTATTTTCTTGACTAGATCTTCTTTACTAGTATCTTGCCTTCCTATCTCCTCATTGCTTAATTCTAAAGAGTTTTTCTGCTCCTGTTTTATAATTTGATCTTCCCATTCCCATTCTTTGTATTATTTCTCTCAACTTGGACAGAATATAAGGAGATACTTTTCTTGATATATCTTCATTAGTATTGATTTCATCCTCAATAATTTGGTCATCTTATTTGTCATTGCTTTTACTTATTTCATCCTGAATGTAAGATGAGATAACATTTTTCAAAATACTTTTTCTTTACTCTTAGCTTGAGTAATTTCACTTTTCCTTGGCATTTCATGTACTATTTCTCAGTGCTTGGGTTCTGAATAAGATGACATTTGCCGGGATTTATTTTCACTCATCATATGGGCTGAATATACAAATTCTTCTGGTTGCCTGAATCTTCTTTCTCTTACAAAAACTTCAGATTTCCTTTCTGGTAATGAATATCTCTTTTCATTCCTAGCATTTAAACATGCTTCATCAAAAAACCTTTTTATTTATTAATTTATTTATTTAACTGGTTAAAAATATGATATAAAGTAAAAATATTTGCAATAAAGAGAAAAATGAGACGTTTTTGCATCTGTGCAGAGTGAAAGGGAATATTGTAAAATAGGTTACCATAAGCTTTAAAATTGACCAATTGAGTTACTCTTGGCACAAAAGAAAAAAAAAAAGGGTATCAAGGTAAATTCTTAAATTACTTCTTGAGATTCTCATCAAATTTTAGAAAATTAGATATTTAGTATAATTTGAATTGTAGACTCAATATAGGGCAAAATGGCGCGCAATGAATTGGAAGTTAATCTGTCAGCACTATCCTTATCTTCAGGGCAGATGCTTTTTATATTATTTGGCTTATAATTCCTTACTAAATGTAGTATTTCATCTCGATGTACTCCGTCTTTGATATGATTTAAATCAAATTCCTCGTCGTTATAATTCGCTTCCGATAAAGAAGAAAGTGACACAGAGGTTATTGAAAACGAAACAACTTACATTGAAAGAAATGTTTAATAAAGTAAACAAATAAATATTAAGCTTTTTTTTGTAAATTTGTATACCCTTTAGATCATAATTGCTCTTTATTTCATAAATAACGGTTTCATATTTTTAATTGTAAATTTCTGCATGCCATCTTACTAGATTTAAACTGATGATCTATAATCCGGAATCGCCGAAGTCCCGACGAGTCCAGATTAACGACTTTTGACTGTAATTGACATGTAATAGAAAATGAATTGTCTGCATCTGGGCTGTTACATATGTGTTTTCAAAATTATATAAGCATACATTTATAAAAGAATAAATTAAAGTAGTAAAAGATGAATGGTTTTCTAAAACTTTTTGAAACGCAAAAGTGTTTATTATTAATTCATTAACTTATTTGTTCTAAACCTGTAAATAAGTATTTGGTTTTAATTCATTAACTTCTTTTATAAATCTTTGATTTAGGTTATGAGAATAGTTGATAGCATTAGACCAGATCGTCAGACTGTTATGTTTTCAGCAACCTTTCCAAGACAAATGGAAGCCCTTGCAAGGCGCATTCTAACTAAACCAGTAGAAGTCCAAGTGGGTGGTCGCAGTGTTGTGTGCAAAGACGTTGAACAACATGTTGTTATAATAGAAGAAGATGGGAAGTTTTTAAAACTATTAGAGCTTTTAGGGCATTATCTGGATAATGGGAGTGCACTTGTTTTTGTAGATAAACAAGAAAATGCAGATATTTTATTAAAAGATCTAATGAAAGCATCATATTATTGTATGGCATTGCATGGTGGCATTGATCAGTTTGACCGGGACTCTACGATATGTGATTTCAAAGCTGGAAAAGTCAATCTTTTGGTGAGTTTTAGTAGGATTATTATTTTATTTAAATTATAATTTTATAATGATTTAAGTCTTTTTCAATCTAAATCTGTTATATTTGTTGCATAAAAGAAACTTTATTTCCCTGTGTACAGTAGTATTCATCATAAGTTAAGTATTCATACAAATCAGTCTGCTTGCAGTGAACTCTAATTACTAGAATAGCTAATTTCCTTTGTGTTATTGATTATATTGAAATATATAAATATATATATTACCAACAATACTATAATATTATAATAGATTATATTATACTTTATGTAATAGAATCTTCCAAATAAAATTTTTCATTTTATTAAATAGTGTGCAAAATTTAATTATGAATTTCGAAGAGTTCGTGGGGTAATTTGCAGTTATGAATAAAAATGGCACATAGTCTTTACTCATACTATTAGAATTTAATAACATTTAATACATGAAGGAAATGTATGCAAAATTTTAAAAAAATTAATTGGGGAAGTGAATAATGTTGTCTGTGTCATTGAATCTGTGAAATACATGATGCATGATGTACCATGTATTTCGCATGACAAAGGAAAGATATATCATATAGATGGCAATATCAGAAATATATATTTAATTACATATTAAAGAACTGTTTAATAAAGTAAACAAATTAATATTAAGCTTTTTTTTTTTCTTGTAAATTTTGATACCCTTTAGGTCATAATTGCTCTTTATTTCATAAATTATGGTTTCATATTTTTAATTTTATAATTTCTACATGCCATCTTAGCAGATTTAAATTGATGATCTATAATCCGGAATCGCTGAAGTACCGACGAGTCTGGATTAAAGACTTTTGACTGTACTAGGATTTTACCACAAAATCTTTTAAACATTTCCCCCCCCATTTTAATAAATACCTTATTTGTCATTTTGCAGTAAAATAAAGAAAAATAATAATAATAGTGATCAGTCATTTAAGCTAACTGTTTAATGTAACTATATTTGCCGAGGGCCCACCAGCGGCCGAGCGGTAAAGTCGCTGAACACTGGTAGTTCGGTCCAAGGTTCGAATCCCGCGAACGGGCTGGCTGCATGGGCGTTTTCGTGGTTTTCTCCATGTGTAACGTGTATACGAGCCAGTTTCCCTTAGAAAGTCCTCCACGAAGGCATCCCTCTTCTTAGGCAGATAGCCCTCGAGGCTTTGCCATACTCTCACACACACACACATAACTATATTTGCCGAAGTATGATTGATTATTCTAATTTAATTTTTAGTCTTAAGTAATTAACTTTATTTTAATGTTATTCGTATCTGTACTATGATTCTAAACTAATAAGTGGACTGTATAGCAAAAGAACTAATTTATTTACAGTAACTAACTATTCAGATCTAATACATGCTCTGGCATGTTGCTTAGCCGAATCCAGATGGCCAAGTGAGAGTTTCTCTCCCTATCCAATAGGTGGCGCTATATTCTAACTTAACATGCCGCCGCCCGTTGAAATTACAAATTTCAACATGTAAATTACAAACAAACATACAATTTAACAAATCAAGAACAACTAATTCTACAATACAATATGAAAGCTAATAGATAATCTTTCATCATGAATATAATATAAAATAATGTAACATTTTGAGAAGAACATTAAACATTCACTATGCTACAATCGAACTTATTCTTTAAAACAGTTCCATTTTTATGTAAATCACAATTTTCAATAAGAACATAATAATGTAAACTAAGCATTATTATCCTGGATAGGTAATAAACAAATTTTACTAATACATCGAATATACACACCATTTGATGTTTTCACTTTAACAACTCTGGCCTTATTATCATTACCAGGTAAAACTTCTAGAATTCTTGCTAAAGACCATTTAAATGGCGGAAGATTATCTTCCTTTAACACAACTAACATACCTGCCTTTAAATTTTCTTTATTAATAAACCATTTGGTGCGTTGTTGTAGATGATTTAAATAATCAGTTTGCCGTTTCCAAATAACTTGAATGAACTTGGTAATAACTTGCCATTTAGACAGTCTATTATCTGTAAGATGAGACAAATCTGGTCCAGGATATGAAGTAATGGAACGTCCAATTAAGAAATGACCCGGCGTTAAGGCTTCAAAGTCATTTGCATCTGTTGATAAGGGTAAAATTGGACGAGAATTGAGAATACCTTCAATCTGTGTGACAACAGTCCAAAATTCTTCTAAAGTTAATTTATAACTGCTGATTGTACGCTGAAGATGGTATTTAAATGACTTAATACCTGCTTCCCATAAACCACCGAAATTGGTGCTCTAGGTGGAATTAGTTTCCACTTTATACCTTCAGATGTTAAGAAATCTGCTATATCAGAATTAGATTTAAGGACTAAACTATGCAATTTTTTCAGTTCTGATTTTGCACCAACCATATTAGTACCGTTATCTTATATTATGGTATTACATTTTCCACATCTAGCAATAAATCTTTTAATAGTAGCAAGTAATGAATCTGTGGTTAAATCAGTTACTACCTCTAAATGTATTGCTTTAGTAGCTAAACAAATGAATATAGCAACGTACACCTTTGCATAATTACCCTTTCTCTGATTTTTATACTTGATGAGGAATGGACCAGAAAAGTCGAGTCCACAAGTATTAAATACAAACCCTGGGATTAACTCTTCTCACCAGGTAAATTTCCCATAAGTTGTTCACATACAATTGGTTTAATCTTAAAACATGTTACACATTCATGTACAAACCTTTCGAGCTATATCTCGACCATTAATAACCCAAAATTTACTACGAACCTGATGCAATAGTGCTTGAGCACCAAGATGTAAATATTTAACATGGTAATACTGAAAAATTAATCTAGTAAATACATGATCTTTTGGCATTACATAAGGAAACTTTTTTTTTGGTTGTAATTAAGATTACTATTGGCAAGTCTGCCTCCTACTCTCAGAAGAGAATCATTATCTAGAAATGGACATAAAAACTTTAACTTACTTTTGGAAGAAACACAATTCTTATTTTTTAAAGATAGAATAGCCTTGCTAAAAATGTTGTAACTGTACATACCTGATCATGATTTTCTCAGCGTCATCCAATTCTTTAACATGTTAGAGAACCTATCATTAAATTTTTTCCCCTTACAATTGGCTATAAATCTACAAACAAAACTTAACACACAAATAATACAAATATAGTTATTACTAATGTTAAGAATATGATCTAAAACAAGGGGGAATTAGAGTTCACATTTAGATTAACTAAGGTCATTATCCTTAAGTTTTGAGTTCTTTGGCATATTCCACATCAGCCATATCAGATGAAATTAATTCACAAGGATTAGTCAAAAACCCTCTCCTTAGTCAAGAAAAGTTGGTCCATACCACCATAAATCATTATGAAGAAGATCTTTAGGTTCAGCTCCACGTTATATCAAATCAGCTGGATTATTGTGAGTGCTAACATGGTACCACTCATGAACAGCAGTCATGCTTCGAATAACAGATACTCTATTAGCAACAAATGTCTTTAGTTGATAAGGTTCCTTCTTAATCCATGCTAACACTATTGACGAATCAGTGAAGTAATACACCTTCACTATAGGCAGCTGAATGGCCTCTAATATTCTTTTCATTAGTTTTACCAACAGAACTGCACCACAAAGTTCCAAACGAGGAATGGTAATTGACTTCAGAGGTGACACACGAGACTTGCTGCACAGAAGTCTTGATGAACATTCATTTGAAGATGACATACATTTCACATAAATTGCAGCACCATAGGCTTTCTGACTAGCATCACAGAATCCTATAATTTCTATTTGTTGTAATCCATTGGTTAGAACAAATCTAGGGATGCGATAATCGTTGACTATTTTGAGACTATGCAGAAATGCCTTCCATTCTTCAGAGTAATTTTTAGGAAGAGGTGTATTCCAATTTAATTTTAGAAGCCAAAGTTTTTGTAGAAATATTTTAGCTTTTGTCGTAACAGGTCCAATTAAACCTAACGGATCAAAACAGGCGACCTATTGATAAGACATCTCTTTTCGTGCCTGTTTCTTCAAAGTCAGGTATCTTTAGATCGTAAGAAAAACAGTCTGTAGACGTATTCCATGACATTCCTAAGGCTTTTGTAATCTGAGGCTTATCCGTAACTTGAAAGGAGTAATCCTGAGTAGCACTTTCTTTATTCTTCAATAATTTTGGATGTTTTGAACACCATTTGTGTAACTGCATTCCACCACGTTTCTAGAAGACAGGTTAACTGTGTCTGCAACTCCTTGGCTTCTTGCATGGTATTAGCTCCAGTAATAATGTCGTCCACGTAACAGTCCTTCAGTATGGCTCTTGAGGCATGAGGAAAGTCTGTCGCTTCATCCATTGCTAACTGCTTCAGGACCCTTGTTGCAAGGAATGGTGCACTTGCTGTTCCGTATGTTACAGTCCTTAGACGGTAAGTCTGCACAGGACTACCAACTGATTCCTTCCACAAGATCAACTGCAGGTTTCGTTGAGATGGTTCAATAAGTATTTGTCTGTACATCTTCTGAACATCAGCTCCTAATGCATAGTTGTACTTTCGAAATCTAATAATAATAGAAAATAAATCTTCTTGAGGTATTCGCCCTTTCATTAATATTGAGTTCAGTGACTTTCCATTGCTAGTAGCCGCGGATGGATGCATTAAACACAACGCGAAGCTTGGTAGAGGCTTTCTCTGGCCGATAAACTCCATGATGACTAAGATAATTGCAAGTTGATGTTTCAATTTCTTGAACTTCTTCCATGTGATTTAGATCCTTATATTCTTTAATAAAATTCTTATATAATGTTTTCATATTCGAATCACTTTCTAGTCGAGTTCCACACTTGATGCAATCTTTTCTCAGCCAGCGTTTTCGATTCTCCTAATTCTACACCTTCCCTTATGGGTAACTGAACTACGTATCTTCCATCATTTTGTCTATAGTGAGTACGCTTGAAATGTTCTTCACAGTATTTTTCTTTTTCACTCAAAGCATCCTCGATATTTCCAATGGATTCAACTTCCCAAAATCTTTGCAAAATTTCTTCAACTCTTCTTCACTATTTAGAACTAAACCACAATAATTTACTTCTGAGTTACTCTTGCATGCACCAGACGCGATATATCCAAAAACTGTTTCTTGAAATATCAACGGTTGATTTTCTAATTGAAATTTTCCTTCTTTTAAAATCTCAAAGAACAATTCGGCCCCTAGTAACATATCTATTTTGTTAGGTGTTCCAAATTGCGGATCCGCTAATTCAATATCAATGGGAATATTTAATGACTTCACATCTAAACACCTTGATGGAGTTACATTGGTTATTTTAGAAATAACTAAGCAATTAACTGATCTTACATATGTTAAATCCTTATTCGAAATCTGTACATCTAGTTGATAATTAATATTTATAACGTTCTCATTAATTCCGGATACAGATGCATAAATTCTTTCTTTCTTTATATTTAACAAATTAGCAACTCCTTCACACAGGAAACAACTCATGCTGCCGTTATCAAGTATTGCGCGAACTGGGATTCTTTTTCCTTCGGAATTGCAAATATATATTATTGCAGTCGCCAATAACACGTTTTTTCTGCGTGTCAAAAGACAACTTGATTGATTTTTATTAGAGACATCTGCGTTCTTGTTTATAATTTCGTCACTCCTTGCTTCCGTTTTTGTTTTGTCTAACTTATGTTGAATGGCGCCATTTCTGAGCAGGCGATGTATTAATGAATGGTGTTTTTTATGGCATTCCGAACATCTGAACTTAGAATTGCATTTTGCCATTAAATGCTCGTTACTGAGACAGTTTAGACACAATTTATGGGTTTTAACTATTTCATATCTTTGATTTGGATTTAATTTCAAAAATGAATCACATTTATGCAGTGGATGATTATTATTTTTGCATATAACACAAATCGAAACACTATCGGTTTTAACCATCAGAGCCTTTGATTTCGAACTTTTTTCTAACGGATATTTCATTTTATTAATACTACGGTTAATGTTATCCAATAACTGACATCTTTTCTCTAAAAACGAAATTAATTCATCAAACGTAGGAACTTCCGTAGCATTAATGCTTAGTTCAAATTGTTTGCGCGTTTCGAAATCTAGTTTCTGAAGTACGATATTTAATAACAGAATATCCGATAAATTATTTTTCTCATATTTTAAAACATTCAAAGCCCTAACGTTTTTAGTAACATTATCTATTACATATCTTATTCCTTTTGACGATTCGAATGTTAGTACGTAAATCCATTATTGACTTTATATGCGTCTCAATTAATATTCTTTTATTTTCATACCTATCTTGAAGAGCTTTAAATAGAGAACTAAAAGTATCATCAACAGTTTCAAGATTTTTTGCTTCATCAGTTAATGCAGCCTTTAAATAGTAGAGTTTCTGAACTTAATGTTAATTGCGTGTTATTCGCTATGATGTTTTCGAATTGAAGCTTAAAATTATTCCATTCGGTATATTTACCAGAAAACTTAGGAATTGGTAATTCTGGCAAACGTATTTGTACTTTAGGATCAAATTTACTACAATCATTTTCATTTTCAGAATGTGCTATAGATGATAGAATTTCCATAATTCTTACCTCGAGAACTTCAGTTCTTTCTTCCATTTCGGCGATTTCTTCATCGATGGCTGTGACATCTTTTTCATCAACGCTTTCGAAATATCTAATCCTCAAGTTTCTAATATCCATTTGAATGCTTTGTAGCGATCTATACTTTATTTGAATTTCATTTTTATTCGAACTATCATCATATTCCTTCACTACATTTTCTAACCTAGTTAGTTTCGCTTTTAACGAAGTTTTGTTTCTATCTAATGCCAGCATTTTGTTCACTTCTCCGGCTCTGCTGACCATGTACTATGATTCTAAACTAATAAGTGGACTGTATAGCAAAAGAACTAACTAATTTATTTACAGTAACTAACTATTCAGATCTAATACATGCTCTGGCATGTTGCTTAGCCGAATCCAGATGGCCAAGTGAGAGTTTTCTCTCCCTATCCAATAGGTGGCGCTATATTCTAACTTAACAGTATCATTTAATAAATCTTTTTCCTTCTAAATTTATTTATTATTAGTTAATAGGACTTTCAAATTTCAGGCAATTTTCTTTGATATACTCCTGAACCTAATTCTAGCAGTATGACCATCACGAAATTTTATGCACATTTTTTGCTTATGTATGCTGCTAAATAAATATAAAATACCTGAATTTATTTTTAAATATCATTAAATAGATTTCTTTCTTTCATTTAGCTGCAAAATGTCTCTAAAAAAAAGACATTTTTTAATCCATATTGGGCAGATTCTAATCTCAATCTTCAGCGGAGAAAACAACTCATTATGGTAATAATAATAATAATGCTATGGGGATTATAAGTAATATATAATTGGAAAATTTTTGTGTTTTCAAATGGTGCCATAATTAATTTACCTTTCGGCACAGCCGATGCGCACTTCACGGATAGACTGGAATTTTCTTAAAACAGACCTGGAAAACTCAGAGAATTTCATTCTCCTGTTTTAATGGCAACCCTGATCATTCTCCTGTTTTAATGGCAACCCTGAAGATCTTCCTTCTGGATCTTGGGCTTCTCTCCCTCTTTCTTCATATTGTGTGTACATGTGTTATCTGATTTTTATTTGCAAGTTTGGCTTCGCTTCAGTTTCAGTTAATCCTAAATTAAAATTTGAGTTCAACGAATAAAGGCTAGAGAAATAAATTCATTAGTTAAAGCAGTGATCTCAAACTCTAATAAAATGCAAGCAGTTAATGGACAATCTGAAAATAGCTGAGGGACAGGACTATTTTTTTAAGCAAAATCAAAAATTTTTTATGAAAAAAAAATGGAACCAAATTTTTAATTTCACTTTTTAAATATTTGTTAAAACATACAATATTAATAACAAAGCAAAGGAAAAGCATTTTAATTTATCTTTAGTATTTGCTATCAGAAGTTTGTACCCACAAGACATTTGTGCTTTATAATTCAGGCACATTTACAGCTAAATATTAATAGTATAGACAGGTATTTATTTCACATATTTCTAATATGTTTAATTAACTACTAAGTAACTTACTTTAAATTAAAATAAAAATTTTTTGAAAATTTCCACATGGGACAAATAAAAACAACCTAATCTCTCTCTCTCTCTTTTTTTTTTTTTTTTTTTTACACATGAATTAAAGTACCTATGTTCACATTCGCATGTAAATAATTTCAAACTTAATAGAATTTATCTTCATCCCAGGTTATAGATGCTCATCAGTTAATTGGGTTCTTTTCTTATAAATTTTCAATTGTGAAGAAAGCTGTTCACATATAAATGTATTCCCGAATAAAATGATTATTTTCATTGCAAAAATTTATAATTCAATTTATATATTTTTTGACAAGTACAAATAAAAGTTAATCAAATGTGTTCAAATTTTTAAATAAGGTTTATACTACATTGTTAAGTAATTAGCTCCATTTATAGATTTTCGCCTACATTATTCGTGTTTATTTTTAGTAGTAATGAAAATAATGTAACCTCGGACTTCAAATAATTAAAATTTTGAAATCTTTGTAACAAATACATAACTAAAACATTTCAACGATCACCAGTTTGAGACTACAAAGTTAAAATGCACATCCGTATTTAACAATAATGCCTTTTATTCTTGTGTTGAATAAATAAAGAGAAAGAGTGTGCTAAAAAGTATTTAATCTTCTCCTCCCCCCCCCAAAAAAAGCTACAATAATTCTTCATATAATAAACAATAAATGCTAATGTTATGAACTTTAGAAATTTGAAATATATTTATTAGAGAAGAATGTATGGTGGGAAATAAAAGCATATAAAAATAAATGAATTGAATGAATAAATTTGTAAATAGTAAAGAATAAGTTCAAACTCAATTTAATGAATTTAAGGAAGCTTATTAATTGGAATGAAATAAGAAAACATTAAAATATAGCATAAAATTTTCAATAATGCTAAATTCTTTTATTTTCTTTAAACTGATAATAATTGAAAAAAAAAACTTGTTTAAATGCAACACAGTTATTATGGTTCTTTTTTATTTTTCTTCTACAGATAGCAACTTCTGTTGCTGCTCGAGGATTAGATGTGAAGCATCTTATCTTAGTCGTAAATTACGATTGCCCCAACCATTATGAAGATTATGTTCATCGATGTGGGTAAGCATATCATAGTATCGATGTTATAAATTATTTGTTCACACATTTGAAAAATTTTGCTCTTGTTGTATTTAAATTATGTTGTTTAGCTCCTAAGATTATTATTTTTGTTGTTATGATAAGCTAAAATCTTATTTTTCGTGATTGAGTTTAAAAAATAGTTGATAAATGAAACAAATCTAAAAATCAAGTAAAAATAAGTAATTAGTAATGTAATTAAATCACAAGAATCGAAGAAAAATAAAAGTATATAATATTTTGAATGTTTCAGGTAAAAAAATAATGTCAGCTAATTATTTTGTTATGAAATGTCATGTAACATCATGTAGCAAACATAACTTTCCCCAAAATGAGCTGTATTGAACCAAAATAACAAGCAGAAATTTTTATTGATAGTGGCTTTATATGTTTTTTGTTAATGTCGTGCATTATAAACCCTGCTATCAGAATTTTTATAGAAATTTTCAGAATAAGGAATTTTCCTTATCCCATGCAATATTAAAATTTTCATTGTTGTAATGTGTGATACCACTCTTGTAGAAAAGGCGTAGTCTATAATTTTGGTAAGAGTTGGTCCAAAATTAAAATTGCAAACACATTTTGTGCAATAATTTAAAATAGCTGCTACTGATATTTTAAAAGATGATGTCATATGTAACTTAGAGAAAGGTAAATCTAATGTGAGCATAAGTTGCTTGCTAAAAAGTTAAGTTTTTTTAAACCTTTGCACTCAAGAGGCGACTCTCACTCACCATGTGATTTGCTGCTGCAAACTCGAGGGGTGACTCGCTCACCATGTGACTTGATGCCGCAACTCGAGAGGTGACCCTCGATCACCACTTGGTTTGATGCGGAAACTCCATCCGCTGCAATAACTGTTTACGTTTAGAAATGAACCCGGAAAAAGGCATCAAATGACATATTATTGTAATACTTGCCCGACAAGCCAGGCGTGCATCTTGGGAATTGTTACATGAAATATCATACACAGAAAAATTACGGAGACTAATATTTAAGGAATTATGTTTATAAAGGTGTAAAGATATGTAAAAATTTTATACATTAATTTGTATGCATAATGATTTTAAGTTACTGGTAAGAATTGCATCAAAAAAAGCTATGAAACATCTCAAGTTGCTGGTGCGCCGTGCGAAAAAGGTCCCAAGTGCAAAGGGTTAAAAAAACCTGTAAAGGGATCAGTTGCTGAATCTGAAAAATTTGTGTATAGAATTAATTTCACAAGGATTGGACAAAAATATGGAAACACCAAAATAAAAACATATTGCTGTGACCAATATGGTGCATGAAGACCACTGGCATTTAAAACAGCTTGCAACGTTCTCATAGTGGATAAATAGAAGTCTTGTATCATTCTTCCTGTAAAACAATGGCAAGTTCAGTTAGGATAGTGCTAATGCAGATTTCTGTCCAAAATAGCCCACAAAGACTCAATAATATTTATATTTGGTGACTGTGGTTGCCATGGCAAATGTGAAAGTTCACCCTCGTGCACAAAAAACCACCCCTGGACAATGTGAGGTGTGTGAACAGGAGCTCTGTCATCTTGAAATACTGCATCTTCATTGGAGAATGAAATTTGTACCATGGGATGGACGTGATCAGCTAAAACGGTCGCATAATCCTTGGCAGTATTGTGACCTTAATGATGGGTCCCTCCCACAATATGACTGCCCAGACCATGACCAAACCCCTGTGATGCTTCACTCTCGGCAGCAGTCTCTATGATTTGCTTTGGACTGTATTCATGAGACGTAAACCACCTAGAAGTCGGAAACAGTCTAAAGCAAGACACATCCAAAAAATAACAGTCTTCCATTGCTGTACAGTCCAGATTTTGTGACTTGGGCACCATTTTCTCCTCTTCCAGGCATTTTGATCACTTATGAGTGCCTTTTGAATTGCAGTTTGGACCTCCCTTCATATTATTTTGGTGCTGTGAGGTTTTGCGAGTGCAACATTCAGTTTAGCAGTCACTTTTGCAGCTGTAGTCATGTTATTTTTTATTACAATCCTCTTTGTTTATTACAAAAATCGTCTTTCGTAATCACTCAACAACATTTTTGTTTGTTATATGATTTAGTGGGTGCAGACTTGATAAGGCTCTAAACTATTTGAGATATGTCTGTTATACTATATTTACACGATATTTTAATTTGGGGGGGGCTAAGCTATAGCTTATGTAGCTTATATGTAAATCCTGCACTGTTTGCGAGTGGTGGGAAAAGCTGCTGATCTAAGAGAATTTTATAGAGGGCAGATCGTAATGGCCTGAAGCCTCGTAACGAGTATGTCCGAAACTGCATGACTGGTAGGTTGTTCACAATCTATAGTTGTTAGTATTTATGCAAAATGGATAACTGTGAAACTAACAATAGATGCCAAAGTGTTGAACGTATAGATGTCATCAAAGAAAAAGAAAATTGGAGACTGTCTCACTTGGTATAGCAAAATTGGTGCCAGACAGTTGCTCAGCTGACAGCCCAATACAGTGCAGGTCCAAGTGGGAGTGTTTCGGAACAAACAGCTCAGTGGACACTGTTGGTTATGGTACTGGGCAGCAGATGTCCAATTCATGTGTCTCTGTTGACCAAGCATCATTATCAACTATGCCTACAGTGGGCCCATGAGCATCGTGACTGGACTATAGTTTAGTGAAAGACAGTTGCCTGGTTTTGATGAATCATGATTTCTAACATTGATGATCGTGTCAGGGTATATCAACTTCCAGGCAAACAGTTGCTCTCCCCTTTACAGCAGATTGTGCACAGGCTAATGTTGGTGGTATTATGCTTTTGGGTATTTTCTCATGGGTGCCACTGTGGCCCTTAGTAGAACAGACCATGAAAGCTGCAGATTATCTGCACATTGTTGCGGATCATTTGCATCCTTGCATGGAATCTTCCATCAGGACAAAAGCATATGTCACAAGGCTCGAATTGTATTGGAATGGTTCGAGGAGTGTAAGGATAAATTTCCAGTTAATGTCCTGGCCACCTAACTCACTGGATCTTAACCTAATAGAGCATATATGAGATGGACATTTTGGATATTTTGCATTGTCGTGGAGTGGCAGCTCAATGCCCAGACACTTCCATATTGAATATCTTGATTTTGCATATGACTGCTGCTTAGACATTTGGTACAACTTGTCTCCTGTCATCTACCAAGAACTGACATCCATGCCAAGGTGAAAGCCAGCTGTTTTGCTTGCCAAAGGTTGTGCAACACACTGTTGAGTAGGTGGATATAACGTTTGGCTCTTCAGTGTATTTATTTTTATCTAATCAGTTATTTTATGTTAAATATCTTTACTTTTATTTTCCCTTTCCATTTTCCTACCAGATGCTAATTTTTAGTATGTGCATATTCAAATGAGGTAGAAAGAGATATTATTTAAAGAAGTTTTAGATTGCTTAGTTAGAGCATGTTCCATCTGCTAAAGGCCACCTTATTAGTTGAATTTCCACAATAGCATTCCTGTCTATGGTGTTGCTTAATTCTTTCCAATAGTGCTTGTTATGGCAGTATGGGTTTGAACCAATTTTCATGTTAATCATTTATGTGTAGCCTTTGGTGAACTTAGTTTTAATTTAAACTTCTAGCATTTTGAGTTATGCCATAAATACTGGCTGGTTTTATAAGCACTAGAAATACCTTCTGCTAAATTATCTCAAGTCCTGAATGAAAGGGTCTTTTACACTCTTCTTAAGTTCTTTTTCGTCTTAAACATTGTGATAAGTCACTTACACTCCTGTTCAAGGATTTGCCACAAGTTACGCTTAGTTACAGGCACAATCCCTGTAACTGCAATCATTTAATCTAACCTAACCTATCTCCTTAGATGTTAGAATCATAGAGGAAATTATTTACTTTTTTCCCCTTTAATTATTATTTGTGTGTACTTCGTTTTAATTTGTATATTCACATTTCTAATGGATGAAAAGTATATTCATGCTTTTGATATCACACTCATCTTTTTACTTATGTATTCAATTGAATAACTTTGTTGGTTGTTATGAATGTGTGTGTTCTTAAATTTACTGTATTTTTATGGTATTTTTCTGCTTTTTATTTAGTCGAACTGGCCGGGCTGGTAATAAAGGCTATGCTTATACTTTTATAACACCTGAACAAGGACGGTATTCATGTGATATAATAAAAGCATTAGAACTATCTCAAAATCCCATTCCTGAAGATCTGCAAAAGTTGTGGGATGAGTACAGACTAAAACAAGAGGCGGTAAGAAAAGTTTCCCCCCCCCTCCAAAAAAATTTAAAGAATGAAGGAAAACATAGTAGAAATTTTTTATAGAAGTAATTCTTTAGAATTAGTATTCATAATTATTAGTAGTTCTGCATACAGTATTGGCAAATATTAAAACATTTCCTTAATGTCATCATTTTGAAACCCTTCTGCATCAGGGTATGTTAAAATGTTATCTTGCAATAAAACAGCTTTTCTGTTCTGAGTAAGTTATTTTCTTCAAAAACTTCTCTATTGAAGGAACAAATTCCTTAAAGAACCAATCTTTAGAAATTTCATTGCTCATATATGCACTTTTCTGACTACAATTTTGAACTGTTTTAAAGGCTTTAGAATTTTCGGACTTTCCAATCATAACAAATTCCATTTTAAAGTTTGTTGTTGCATTACTTGCATACTAAAATTGTTAGCTTTTCCTTATAAGTGGCGAGGAAGCTGCCACTTCATTTCTGGCAAGACTGCTGCTAGGTAGCATTTTGTAATTAAGGCCTCATCACAATCAAGTATCTAATCATTCAGTAGACATTCAGTTTTTCACCACAAATACTTAACTGATAGATACTGTGTCGTTTCTTCCATTAGTCGAGCAAACTGATACTTTCAGTAAAATCTAGGTCCTCTTCATTGAAATCATTATGAAAATACATTGCCGTTTGCTATAAAATAGGCTCCGGAATAGGCATACGCTCGTCCGTGAACTGCATAAATCAAACATGCAAAGCCTTCATTCACTTTTTCATAATTTTTCTTTCTTTTAATCCATAACTTACTTTATACTCTTCCTCTTACTCCATACCTCTTCATTTTCCTACTTATGTTTGTTTCCTTTTCCAGTCTGCTATGGTTACCCATCCAAAACCGACATCAGCAATGTTTTGCATTGTCTGTTCCTTGTCCAGTTCCTTGATTGCCTCAAGTTTTTGTTTAATTGGTACATCTTACTTTTCATCACCATTGTTTCTGTACTTGTGTAAATTCAACTTGTGAACACCAACAATTTTTGTCAAATTAAATGTACCGGACACAGAGACATATGCATGAAGAGTAACAAATGGTTAACCAATCTGCATACAATGATAAACTGAACTGCTCTGAATTATGGATGCATAAGTCATAATGTAGACTGGTACACCATGCAGTAGAGTTGAAATCAACAAAGGAAACAAAGGGGGGAACTACATTCAGAACTTATAATTCTTCTTGCTTTTTTTTTTAATGCGATATGTTAAATAATACAGAAGGTCGGATAAAGAAAACTGTACTGTAATTTCCCCCACACACACAGGTATTGTTTATTAATTTATTAAGCATTTGTAATCTCTTCAGAAAGAGATTAATCGATTTTTATGCAGTTCACAGTCTGAGATCTGGAATTGTTAGAAATTTGGTGATTCTGAATTTTAGAAATTTCTGTATTGTAGATCTTTGGTTTAAATCAATAAGATGATTTGTAGAAATTTTGAAATTTAAAATGTGAATAATTATATATATGAAATTTTCAAATTATGAAATATTTTGACCTTACAAAATTAGAATTATTCTCCCTAAAAAGGGTGTAAATTTAAGCTTTTTTAGCCCAAAGGTGAACCATAGGGTGCTCGACTCCTTTTTTTTCTTCTGTGTATATTAATGATGCATACTTTGTCTGGTCGTGTGATTGTGTCAGTTCCTACTATTTGCTTGTATATTGTATTTTCGTCTAGCATAAGAACTTTATGTACTTCTTTGAAGTAACGTATAGCCATTAGTACATAGTCAGATTTTCATCTTGAAGTCTGAGTATTTTAATTTTTTTTTTTTTTTTTTTTTTTTTTTTTTTTCCCAATTACATTGGCAAAATTTCTTCCATCTTTAGATTTTTCAATATTTATCCTATAATGATAGGTCTTTGGTCTTCAACTTCTCTTGTAGTAGTTTGATTGCTTTTGTTGTATCTTGTTAATTTTAAACTCCTGTGAATGTTTGTTGTCTACATACATGATTATAGATTTAAGTTTGCTGTTTTTGAAAAATAAACCAGATTTACTTTGTTTTAATTATTGGTTTTAAAAGTAATTTACAAATTTCAGTTCCAAGCTCTAGTAATTTGGTTTGTTCCTATATTAATTTCCTTAAAGTCATGTTTGATTTTGCTTTGAAATCCTGGTAATGAATATTATACTTGTAGTATTAGAATTTTGAACTTAGAAAATACTTGTATAGTATCCAATAATAACGATAATTGTTATTACAATAATATATAATGTCTTAACTAAGATTCTTTACATATTTAGGAAGGAAAGAAAGTGAAAAGCAGTAGTGGCTTCTCTGGAAAAGGTTTTAAATTTGATGAAGCTGAAGCTCAGCTGGCTAATGAAAAGAAAAAGTTTCAGAAAGCTGCATTAGGTCTTCAGGATTCGGATGATGAAGATGCCGAAGCTGATATAGATAAAGAGATCGAAACATTATTAGCTCCCAAAAAACGTGTTCAAGAAATAACTATTTTGCCTTCTGGTGGCATTGGTTTACCTGGTACTATAGCCAGTGCCGAAAAATTAGAACTCGCCAAGAAGTTAGCATCCCGTATAAGTTTGCAAAGAAATATTGGGGCAGAAGCTCAGCAGGCTGCAGAAGCTGTCCTTAAAGGACATTTAGGAACACCTGTTATATCGGTGAGATTTCTGCTTATATATATATATTAAAATTTATGTATTTTTACCCTTCGTGTTATGATGCATATGTGATATTTGAAAGTGTTTGGAATGTAACCTTACAGCTTACTCTATGGATTTTAAGTAATAGTAAATCTCATATACAAGTTATCGTGATGCGAGTGAAATGTCAATATTCTTGCAGACAAAAAGCACATTGCATAAAAGTTAAATTAATTAAATTTTAATAAGTCTCTAATTCCGCTCTTAATATAAAATTATTGTACAGATAACAGTCTTTTCGACTATGCATTAGTTTCAGAATAAACTTTAGATAGAGTAATTCACAATTAAATTTTTACTTTAAGAGGAACCACAAATCTTTGTCAAATATTAATACATAAAACTTTCAACTGCAGCTTGCCATTTTGCACAAGTACTTCCATGTAGTCTTCTGCATCACCCTGAATTAATAACAAACATTTGCCAACAGCTTATTTTTTGTGGCTTCATCATTGCATTCACTCAGGCACACTTAGGACAAACTTGGACTGATGCTCTTCAGACAACTTCTGTGGTTCCAGTTAAAACCTAACTATACTCCTATGTGTGTCTCTTTATATATATATATATAATGTATAAAATCCTGGAAGGAATATGCTGCTTGAAGCAATAATAAAGATGCATATTGAAACCAACTTGTTGGTTAAATAAACTAAACTGTCACAGTGTAGCATTAAAAGTTCTATTTTTTGTTCCTTTTTATTTGTTATTTGCTGTCTAAATTCTGTTTATTTCACATCAAAGTCATTAAATATTTACAAATAAATAGTTACATTGCTGAAAATTTATTTATGCATTTAATCAAATTCTGGAGATATAACCATTAGGATCATCAATTAATATAAAGAGTTAACCTTCAATGCATCACAGGATAATTATGGTGGGTTGTGAAAAATGTACTTATACCTTTTCATAATTATATTAAAAAGCTAGGTGAGGTAACTTTTTGGTGAGCTAACTACAATTTATCTTCTTCTCATTTTCATAATTATATATATTTTCCTGTAATTATAAATTACTTTATTATTATCAGTTCTTAATAATTGCATTTGTTTATTATTACTTCTTTGTTAAATTGTTTTCTTCTGGAAATCTCTACCCCCCTTCTTTTTTGAGTAATTGTTTGCTTGGGACTCATGTTAACTCACATTAAATGCATGTGGCTTGTAGTAAGTCTCAGATAAATGCATATGTTTTGCTAGGCTTTAAAAGGTTTAGGAAACATTACTCTACAGTATCCCTAAATATTGAAACTGATTTAGGGTATTTAGAAATTTTTACAAAGTGCAGAAAAGTATATTTACTTAATAGTAAAAATATATCGGCTCTGTGATTGCAAAGAATATTGGTCGTATTGAAATTAATATATCTCAGAGTTAATAACATGTAAATTATTTATTTTTTGTGTGTTTTGTATTCAACAGGCCAAAACTCTTGCTGAACAACGAGCTGAAAAACTTCATGCTAAATTAAATTACCAACCTAAAGCTGATGAAGAAGGCAAGGATGAAGAACAAGCTATGGAAACATTTAGGAAATATGAAGAAGAATTAGAAATTAATGACTTCCCACAACAGGCTAGGTGGAAGGTCACTTCTAAAGTAAGATTAGTTTTAAGTTTTGTGCATTTAATTGCTTTATAGTATTCTAATAACGTATGTTTATATGAAAAGATGTTTTCTTTTTATTCTCTATATTATGAGGAGGCAAGAGTTTTAAAAAGTTTATTTTGTTAAAGTATATGTTGATATTAAACATCTTCTGTTTTAAACCTCTTGAAGTTTTGATCATTTTCAACAACTTGCAACTCAAGATTGCATGGGAAAAATAAATAATTCCCAAATGACAAGCTTAGAATTTTCTAGCATAAAAAAATTACTGATTTCATAGTAAAGAAATGTTTCTTTCCTGTTTTTTTAACTTTCTCTTATATTACAGGAAGCTTTGGCACAGATTAGTGAATATTCTGAAGCAGGTATCACTGTCCGTGGTACATATTACCCACCTGGTAAAGAGCCAAAGGAAGGAGATAGAAAGCTTTACTTGGCTATTGAAAGTACAAATGAACTTGCTGTTTCTAAGGCACGGGCTGAATTTATCAGGTTAATTAAAGAAGAACTTGTAAAAATGGTATGTGACACTTTAATCATCTTTCTCCCTAACTCCTTTTTTTTTTAATAAATGGGAAAAAGTAGAATATCAGTTGGCGTTACTGAACATTGATTTTAATTTCAGAGTAAAATAAGTGCAACAATAATTTTTCATTATTTGGTACTGTAAAATATGCCATTTTAGCATCAGCTCTATATTACACTATTAAAACACCAAATACCCACACATTCTTCAAATATGGGGGGGGGGAACATTTGCAGAAAAAATATAAAGCTTTAGAAAAATTCTTATAAATACTTCCTCTTCCCCTAAAAAGGAGGGAAGGAATGCATTCAGAACGGTAACAATATAATTGACTTTATGCTGTTTCCAAAGTCACATGATTGTTAAAGTAATGAAAATTTCCTAAAAGCAATATTTAATTAGCTTTCAAAAGTAAGTATAGTTAATTGTTAGTGGCAAAAATATTCCTATCTGAGAGATTGAATATTTTGTTATACTTGCTGTGGCTGGTATATATTATGTCTGTGACTGCAGACTGAATTAGTCATCCTTTTTAGCTTATGCGTGGCATTTTAGGTCCTCCAGTTTGTCGTGATTGAAGATGGCATTAGTGGGACTGCAGAATTATTATTGGATGAGAATGCTGAAATCAGATGCTTTAATGACATGCAGTACAGATGACTAAAATCCTCTGACACTGATCTTGAAATTATGATTCTTATAATGATGAATAGAGATATTATTGAACAAGTTACTCCTTCTGTAGTGTCAGAGTATGTTGTCTCACACCTCCAAACCGCTCAACTGTTTGGTGTAAACCTGTAGGTCACGACCTATAGGGGGACAGAAAAAAAATTTATCTTCATGTAGTCCACTGCAGCTCTGTGAAATTGCAATATATTTGAAAAATTGCAGATTATTGAATTTTTATATTTTAAACGTTCTTAATTTAAAAGATGGCAAAATGTTTTTATAATCTAAGAATTCCAAGACAACATGCACAATAAGTTTTTTAATGTAAAGTACTTTTATTTTTTAGCTTAATATAAAATGTGATATTGTCTTTTTTAAACTATTGCAATAGCCAAAAGATGTGTAGGAAATAATGCAGCACCTGGTATCTTCTGCTACATGAAATTTTTCAAACTACTGCATACATTGCTCACCAAGAATATAATATTCCATGATTAATGTAACATGCATTTTAATTTTAGACAATAATTTCTTCCTAGTCCCCTTCCTTCCTCATCTCAGTACAGGTTTTGAAACATTGTTTAACCTTTCTATTCTAAATACAATAACAAAATTTACACTTTTATTGAATAGTGTGACATATTTCAAATTGCTGCTGTTCGACATGTATTTTATTTTTAATTTATTTGATTAATTTTTGTCGTAAAATTATCTCCATTGTAATAATAATTTTTTTCCTTTGTTTTACGTGAAAATGTATTAAAAAATTGCTTACTTTGAGGAGTAATTTTCGTGCTAATTAAGTGATATTCAAAATATCCCAAAGTGTTAATTGACGAAATACATTAATAAAGTTTAAAATTAATTTAAAAAATACAATATTATTTACTATCAAAATCACTAGAAATATCTCTCACTAACTCTTTAGAAAATGAATCATCACTCTCATCCATGTCTTTAATTGGCTCATTAACCATGCGAGCATATCCTTCGTCTGATAAATAACACTTTCTCACCATAAAAAAAAATGATGTCAAGGCTTTCCGAAATAAAAAGGAAACTACATAAAATATAAGCAATGCAAAGAAAGCATAATAAGAACCTCACATAATAACCCCTAAAATACTCTACATAGTAACAAAAACAAGATTCGAAGGAATATCAGAAATGCAAATTTTTATATTATGTGACGACTTAAAGAGCTCTTTTTGTGTACATTATGTTATCCTTCTTCCCTGCAACAGCTGAAACCAATGTTATGTAGAATGCGATCAAACTGAAAGTCAGAGTCAGCGTCGGCTCAAGTTTATCCGGCGATAAACTTGGTAAAATAACTGATGTCACCCCCCCTTTTGTTAAATTTTGTGTAGGGAGAAGGAAGTTTTGAATTTCATATTTACAATTTTTTCTGTAATTTCTTCTGCATCTATCTCTTGAGAGATTTCATTTTCAGTGGCAATCAAAGCTAGATTTATGAGTCTTTCTTGCGATATATATCACTGTAAATATGTCTTGATCAATTTAAATTTCGAGAATAATCTTTCACTACTAGCAGCCTAACAGGAATGCCAAGTAGTATTCCCAATATGATCTTAAAGTCTGAAAAGCACAAATTATTTGACACAATTAAGTTCAGAATATCGAATGGGTTATTCATACCGGCTGTAAAAATGTCCTTCGAAGCTAATATTTCGTCATAAAGTTCTGCATTAATATCTTTATTGTCACCCCATTGTAACAGTTTTTTCAATTTACTGCATTTTATTTTCAAATTTGCATTATCGATTTCTGATAAATTACCCATAAAACTAAAATTATCACAGTGATCTTTCATTTAATGATGCGCAAGCAATATCCAAAATTCTAAAAAAGATGTGCTTCTCTTCTGGAGATTAAGGGGATTCGTCAGCATGTTTGTAATCGAAGTGACATTTCTTTTTCCTTCGTCAGACTTCTTCAACAGTTTTAAAACTGGAGCTTGCCATACACTTACTTCTTCAACAAGTTTTCGGCTTTGTCAAGAATACTTTTGTAATTGATGTGTTTTTTTATATTCTTGGATGAATGTTTTTAAGTTACTTATTGCCTTTAAGGTTAGTGTAACACTCAAAACCCTTTCTTGCAATTGTTTGCTGACAGGATTAATTCTTTTAAGCAAATCATGCCAAAGTATCGAGGAACAAATAAATTTGTAATCCTTGATTTGGGCACGCAGACTTCGTGCTTCATTTAGCACTTCTTTTGAAAAGCATTCACCTTCAGTTATTTCAAAAAGAGCGTCATAGATTTCTCCATGTTGATATCTTTAAGGTTGAATGGCTTCAATTTTGCTTTTCCATCGATTGCTGAAGAGGGTAAGCAGAAAATGTTTTTCAAAAGAACTGCCCGTGGCTTAGGAGAGGAAGGAAATGAATTGTATAATTCTTTAATTGTTGGAAAAAAAACTAACAGTATCTACATTCATCTTTGCTGCATTATTAATCATTAAATTTAACCTATGAGCGACACAAGGAACATAAAATGCACAAGGTTTTATTTTTAAGATATTATTTTGAAGACCATTTTTCTTCCCTTTCATATTTGTGCCGTTGTCATATCCCTGGCCTCTCATATCATCAAGGGGAATAATCCACATTTTTAACATTGCCATTACTGTCTCACATAGGCCTGTAGAATCATCAACTTTAATAAAGCCTAAAAAATGCTCTTTGATTTCTGCCTGTCCAACACTGCACAGAACAAAACTTATGACGACACTCATCTGTTCAGTTTTTCTAATATCGAGAGTGCAATCTAAAATTATAGAATAATATTTGGCTTTTCGAAGAGATAGTAAGATTTTCTCTCTTATACTACTGCCAATAATTTGCAGCATTTCATTTTGACCATCTTTGCTTAGATAATGAACTTTGCTGTTTCTACTTTAGGTCCTAATACTTTTCCTACATGAAATTCCATAACTGGGTAGAACTCTGCAAACAATTCTATTAATTTTAAGAAGTTTCCATTGTCTTTTTGGTACATCAGATTAGCCTACACATGATGACAAGACCTCTGACATCATCACAAATTCTAAGGCTAAATTCTGGCTGCCAAGAAATTTTGTGATGTGAATTAGTCTTCTTAATACATTTGACCAATATTTTTAGTCCAAAGGAGCATTGTCCCTGAAGGACTTGTTTTCATTTTGCGATTTTGCATTGAAAACTTTAAAAGGCTGTATCACTTTTTCAAATCATTGTCACCAAATACTCTTGCCATGTATAATATTTGAAGAAATTAAATAATGAAGAATATGCATAAATGTATGTATGTTTCTCGCATTTGCGATAATACAACGGTACCTAGAGCCATCCAATTTTGAATGACGTAATCCTACTGCGAATATGGGCATCTGAAGCCCAAATTTGAAATTTGTTTTATTATCGATTTCATATTTTATGACACAACTAATAATGAATTTGTGATTAACAAACTTAAAGATTTCAAAGCGAGCAATGACAGTGCTGTACAGAGGAGGGGACTTTTTATCTTCAGCATGCGAGAGTGTGCATTGTAAATTCTAAAGTATGCTGATTTTAAAATTATTTTGCGATATTGCTGTTGAATTGAATTTTATGGTTTGAACATAATTTAAAATCTGAAACCTTTCAGTCCCCCCTTCCATCTTTGTGTTTGAGAATCAATTAGTGTTTCCAAATTTTTCTCAAGCTCTTTCCATTTTAAAAATTTTTTCATATGTGCTCTACTAGTCTCATGCAGTGTTGCCAGAAAATTTTCAACTAAAGTACCAAAAAATGACTTAGTTACGCATGCTGACAGAACCTCTGATGTCATCACGAATTTGCCGTCTTTTGGTTCTGTTAGTTACAGACTGTATTCGATTGTTAGACTTTTTAATTTATTTTAGCTTTAACAAAAATTTTTAAACAATATTGCTCATTTTCAATTTTTTAAATATTCAATTTTTTTAAATTAATTCTCATTTTATTTAATTTGCAGATATCCGATCTTAAGATTTATCACATTTAGACTGTTAGCGCTTTTGTAATACATTTTTTTAGTTGGCACTTAAGGTTTTTTTATTTATTTATATTTTCCTTAGTTGTGAACCTTTTAATTGAGGAATGCTTTTCAGAGAGTTTCCCATTCTATGTGGTGGCTCTGTTTCAGATTTTGATTACTTAAGAAAGCCTTGTTCTTTCACTTTTAAATTTATTTGCTTTGATTTTTAAATTATTTCCATTGCTTAGTTCTTAGCAACATTATAATCAAGAGTATGAATTTCATTTCTTTCTCTGTTTGGGTACCCAGTATTATATGGCACGCAAGCTGCAAGTTCTTTGGTTCGATTCACCATAGAATTGGGGGGGGACTGACTTAAAAACAAATCTCGCAGGGTACGAGGGAGGGTGGTGAGAGGTCTCGAAGTTTTTTTTTTTTTTTTCCCCCCTTTTTCACTTTCCTTACCCCTTTCTCGTTATACAGTCAAAAGTCTTTAATAGATCATCAGTTTAAATCTGGTAAGATGGCATGCAGAAATTATAAAATTAAAAATATGAAACTGTAATTTATGGAATAAAGAGCAATTATGATCTAAAGGGTATCAAAATTTACAAAAAAAGCTTTATATTTGTTTACTTTATTAAACATTTCTTTCAACTCGCACATGCGTAAAGCATACATTGCGCATAGTCGAAATTAGAAAATTGCAACCAGAAAACTACAGAGGCTGTTCACACATTTTTTAGACAATGTATATTGTATTCACAAAACTAAATTACATAAAATTCTTGTGTTTTAAATGTTCTATTTGACATCCCTTATTCTGAACTATCTTTCGACACCGCAATTTCCAGGATATTAATGCCTTTGAAGTGGCAGAAGAGGTATTCTATCCCATTCCTCCCGAACAGCTTTCCAGAGTCCTGTTAGGGTTTTGGAACAACGTTTGGATAATGCAGTTTTTAAAAGTCCGAAAGCACAAAAATCCATAGGTGACACATCGGGAGATTTAGTAGGGATATCAGTGAAGGGTATGGCCTTGATACCAGCTTTTTGTTCCATTTCTTTTAGGAAATTTACAGTGGGTTTTTGATGTGTGACTGCTAGCTTTGTCCTGATGGAGTCTCACAGATTGATGGCACTATGGGTAAAGCGATGGTATTTCATTCAGACAAATTGGCGATAAAATATATTCCTGATAGTATTTGGAGTTAATCTTGACATTTTTTTTGCACTCTCTTTATTTTTAACTTGCCATTATAAGAAAAACCAGCAACAATCATGGATCCCTTAGAAAAACTTTCTTTCGATGCCCAATGAACTGGAAGTTGATCTGTCAGCACTATCCTTATCTTTTCTGCCATGAAGATAAGGATAGTGCTGACAGATCAACTTCCAGTTCATTGCGCACCGCATGGTCGTCCCCACCCCTCGCAGAGCAGCGTGAAATTTCAAAATGATTAGAGAATCAAAGGATATGCCTTTATCCATTTTTTGCAGAAATTCCACTTTTTGTTTGATGGACATCGAAACATGCTTTTGCTTTGTAGATCCTTTGGTAGCTCCAGAATCGGAAATTCTTTTTGACATAATGGAAAGTTCAAGCTTACCTTTATAAAATTGCTTTAACAATCTGTAAAAAATAATAAGCCAGATCCAATTAGAAGATTAAGGAACAACGCAATCTGCAACATTAACTTAAATAGATAATTAGATAATTTTAGCTTAGCTTATACCGTCCATTATACATTAAACGCGCATGCATAAAGGTATTATGCACATGCGTTAACACATTATGTGTTGACGCATACGCAGAAAGTTTGTAGCTTTGAGGTCCGGATGATAGATCATTCCGGGTTATGGATGTCCGGATTAAAGACTTTTGACTGTACTGGCGTCAGGCAGTGCAGCCTTGTAAAGGAAAGCCCACATGTAAATCAGATTGCCAGATGCCAATTTATATTTAATCCTAAGTAAACTTTTTTTTTAATATAAGGTATTTTTAATTGATACATTATTTTAACATAAAAGCATTTATTTTATGATACATTTTTAAAATTTTTTTTTAAGAAAATGATGGATTGCAAAAAATTTGCAAAAAAAAATAAAATATATTAAAATTTTAGTAGCACAAGTTTGTCAAAAGTCACAAATTTGTGAAAAATCACATGATATGGCAATGCTGGTCTCATGCTTATGCAAGGCTTTGGATATATTTATCCAATCATTATAGTCTTATAAGACTACTACTGTCAATCGATGCAAATATCTTGCAACAGAAGCAAAACACAGAATTTGTACTTAAGGAAACTAATTCTACATTTTCCATTTTCTTGTTGTAATATGTATCACTAAATTTACGTTCATTATTACTTTTTGGATACATTAAACCCTTCTTTTGAATAGGCTCCATTTCAATCAGTCATTTTCTCTTTGTCGACAAGAGTTGATCACTTTGCAGGATCATCAAAATCAATATGAAGAAAGGAATTTTCATTTGTGCCAGTCTCTTCCATCGAATTATCTGAATAATCTTTAACTTCTGATTCATTTAATTCCATGCTTGGATCATCATTCCCTTCCTTCGGAGTTTCATCAGTCCTTTTAATAGCTTCACCCAGCGTAGCTGATGTTCTTTGGCTGGATGATGTCTGTTCTTTCCTAATCTATTCTGATGCTGATTCAATGTGAACATCATTTACGTCTGAAGTAGACTTCATCTTCTTTATGAAATGAGATACTGGAATGAAGGGAATGTGCATATGAAATGCTCGTCCGATAAGGGTTAGAGGTGTTTGTTATATTAGCACCAAGCATACAAGTTAGCATGAAATCTAACTAAATGGCTTCATGGGGGAAGATTAACTAATAATAGCGGTAAAAATCTTGTATGTTATAACAAATTTGTGCATTTCACTCATTTTTCCCCTCTTTTTAAATCAAAAACAAATTGCACCAGCAATCTGATTGCATAAATTCGGCAGTGTGCACATTGAACATTGCAGAGCTATCTATGATACAATATAAACAGGCATTTGGCAACTTTTGTTTAATGGAAAATTAAAATTTCTACATTTTCTTTAAACATTTTTATATCAACGTTTAAAAAAAAAATCAAGGGGTACTTAAAAATTCTCCTCCCTCAAAATAAATAAATTTTAATATTCACATTAATAATGTATTTGCTTATTATGTGGATATTTCTAGTTTTTTTAAGGCAAGTGGAAAATATAAAAAAAATGTTAGTTTGTTAAAATTTTAAAAACTGAAATATTCTTATAATATGTGGCATTTGAAAAATGAATATCTTGGATAGTGATAAAATATTCCTGTTATGTTTTCAGCATACTTGTTTCCATTACTTTTCTGACCTTTTCAGAATGAACTCTTTCAAATCTATGCCCTCATTCAGTGTGAATTCAGATTACTGCTGTGTAATGAGATATTCAAAATTTTAGTTGCATAAAATTTGTTAGTACTTGCTGTATCAGTATCATAATATTTTCTTATCATTATCTGTAACATGTCAAAAGTATATAGATTTTTTATACTTGTTATACATATATATTATATATATTAGTAAAATTTTGTTTATTTGTGCTGAAAATATGTTTATAAAACAATAATGCACATGTGACTAAAACATGCACTATGACAAATATTTACTATATTTATTTGTTATGCAATAAAATTAGTGTCATTCAATTTCTTTACTGTTTATTTCTCATTTTAATATTTCTCTTTCAGCAACATTCTTATCAACCCATCAACAGAGGCCCGTTACAAAGTTCTTTAAGTCAACTCATCCATCCTTTTGTGTACAGATCATCAACTACTATATTGAGCAATAAATTTTTATTAAAAAATTATGTATTGTTTTTATTTCAAAATACCATAGCAATAATCTAGAATAGTGGCAGCTAGCTTCTGCAGGTAGAAGGCCAATTGAAAACATGCAATTACTCTCTGGAGCATACACAGTGTTTTGTTTAATGAATATTTGGAAACACTTCCTGCAATATATTTATCATGTCCATATATATCCCTGAATCCAAAATAATTATCAAGGCAGTCATTTTTGTCTATATATATCCCTGAATCCAAAATAATTATCATGGCAGTCATTTTTGTCTATATTAGAATCACCGTGGCAGTTTTTAGCCTGAAAGGGCTTTTAATCTCCAACTTCAGTTTTGTGTTTTCACTTCAATTCACTTTTGACACTTTACTTGTGGTTAAACAAAGAGGAAAAGCTTTTATAATATAAAAATGATTGATAAAGTTATGCAACAATGACAAGCAAAATTGGAATAATAAAGAATATTCATCTAAAAACCAAATGACATAGAAAATAAAAAAAATAGATATATCCATTGTTAGGGAAAAAAAATCTGATGTCTACACCACATGACTTCCTTGTACAGAATATTAAATTATACATATTTTCTTGCATTTTATTAAACTTATTAGATTGAATAATACTTCGCGACAGGCTAAACCAATACAATAAATGCATTCTTAACATTCACTTGTTTACCTTAGCGACACTCTGGCACTAGGTTTACTTAACAGTATTATATTTCATTCAATTATAACTCAGAATGCATAAAAATGTAATCATTTAAAGAATTATCTAATCGTTGCCCATGTTCTATCAAATACTATAATAAAGCTAGAACTATGTATAAAAGCAATTAAGAAAATATAAAACAAAAAAAAGAAACAGTTTTTTCACAGACGATTGAGTATTTCCATTTAATTAATTCGTTCTCACTTCGCGAGAAGGAAAAAATACTAAAACTCAAAATATCATATTAAAAAATTACGAAGAAACATCAAATGCTTATTTCCTCGAAAGATTAAGCATGATTTAATTGGCAATAATAAATGAATGTGTACCTTGTTGTTGGGCGCAAGTTTCTCTAGATGGCAACAAATCCACTAGTATCCTGTTTCAAATGTAAACACCAATAGCCGCCATTAAAACAGGATAGCGGCAATTTAAACAACTTAAAAATTGCTGATAATTCAAAAATATTGCACGATTTACTAAGGCATAAAATCCTTAACCGGAAGATAAAAACATATAATTCAATCTTTTTTTTTTTTTTTTTTTTTTTTTAATGTACAATTTACAAACATATACGAGTAAGAAAACTGAGACACTGAGCGGGGGTAATAGAGTGGATTTATCTATAATAGATATTACGTTTGGTCGGCGTTGCAACAAAATACGAGGTGCACATCTACATGTATAGCAGTTTTATATAAAAACTTTTCAACGTTTGGGCTTACTCATTTTTGAGATGCGAGATACGACTACGTTCGTACAGACGCCACGAAAAATTTTCAGAATAATTTTAAAGTTTTATAATTTTTTTGAAGGAAAAAGTATTTTATTCTGTCCACCTACAGATATACGCAAAAACATGTTAAATTGATCGATAGCGGTCAAAATGGATATTTTCGTTAAAATATGCTGCCTGAAACTTTTTGCGATTACAATACTTCCTTTTTACTTTGTACAAGGAAGTAATAACTGAAACAGTGAGAAAATGAACCCTTTGGGCAGTGTTAAAATCTGAGCCATTCCAGTTACTCCACCCTCCAATGGAAGAAGGAAGTGCTTTAAATTCTTCAAAAAAATCCTTAATTCACTGCTAAACATATGCCATCATAAGTCCTTAAAACTAGTATAAGTTTCAGTTGTAACAAAATTATTTAAAAAGTGTATGCTACTTGAACAACTGCTTCATTGGTATATATCTCTGTAAACAAATTAGCTGAATGATTTTTTCCATTGATGATCAATATGATATGAGTCAATTTCTTTTGCAGTATCCTCCAATGCAAACAGCAATCTTGACCTTTGCTTAAGTCAGTTAAACATTCTGTACTAGAAATATTATAGTTATGTATTTTTTCCATATGGTCAATGCATAAAAATAAGAATGAGAAAAACAGTAATGCAGGACATTAATTTAAAAAAAGGAGCTGATTGATTTGCTTGGAAAATTATTTCTTGCAATGCAAAGTGAGTCATTGAGACAACACTAAAATTTTTATGTAAGACATATTTATAACGCATATGTGCATTTCCTAATAATCAATTTCAGTCTACTTATGTTACAGAATTGCAAAGTGCGCTGCTACAACTATTGTCAAATTTTGTATAATGAAGTGATTTAACATCAGTGCTGATGTGGTATAATTAATTTTGTAAACTTTGCAACCTGTCCTCCACAAGGGCTTACTAGGGATTAATAAGACTTCTTACATAGAATGTGAATCATTTATCAAAATTGATTTGAAGATTTGTGACTATACCATTATATCTATGATCCAGCACTAAAATGTTTATAAACTAAAAGTAATGATAAAACATATGGACGCTAGATTAAAGAAAGAAAAAAATATATACACCATATGCACAAATAAAATAAAGTTTTTTATTCTTCTACTAAGATGTCATATTCATGAACTGCCAGATAATTAATTATGCTCAAGAACAATCTTCTTGTGTTGTCCACACTTAAAAGCTTATTGATATTGTCAGTTGAAATTAATGCAGAAGATTATTGGTATGCTATCTTATGCTTTGAACTTGCATGGACTCCAAACTGACTGAGAAAAATCAGCATTTGTCATACCACATTAGATTGTACAGTATTTCATATTAAATCTTCTAAAACACATCAGAGAATACCTATCATTAATAAAAGTTTGATTCAGATATCTGAAATATATAATTTGAACAGTATAGGCAAGACCTTTCTGAAGGAAAAGCTTAAGAAAGTAATTTGAATTTTAAACATCCTCATTGAAAATACAATAATGTTTTTGAAAAGTTATTTAAAATTGTATACCAGATACTGCACATTATTTTTGCTTTATTTGATTTAAAACTATTCTTTGAAATGGATTTAAAAGTTAGCATTAAGACTTAACCGTAAAGCAGGGTTTCTTAAACTTTTTCTGTCTCGACCCCCTTTTTATCTCTGAGATTCCCCCAGGAACCCATAATATTTATGAACATTTTGTGGGACCCCATAAGCATTGCACAAATCTGACACGCGTGTGTGAAAGTCTCAATTTTTTCACTTGTACTTTACCATTAACTTTAATTTCTAATTTTAAGATATAGAACAATGTGAAAATTTTAAATAAGTAACAGACAAAATGACAGCGTCACGTGCAAGCAAGTAAAAGAACGTTTATTAGAAAAAGGAATGCATCAAAAATTTCCTTTTTTCTTGTCTGTATTGTCTTATCTTTATCTATTTTCAGATGTATTGTGTACAAATATTTGGTAATTGTAAACTTATTATAATAAGTTAAAGAAATATCAAAACTGCTAAATTTTTTGTCGACCTACAGTTTAAGAAACGCTGCTGTAAAGGAAAATACATAAGGCTGAAACATAGCTCTTTCTTTGTCATCAAGTTAAATACATTTATGTCCAATCATTAAATTTATTATTTTATAATTTGTTCATTGGATCTTGAAATAGCAAGTGTATTACATTTCAAAGAATAACTTTTTTTAACTGTTCATTTCATTTGAGAATTGTATAAGCAGTCTTGCATTGATTGGCAATTTGTCATTAAAAATAAATCATTTTGTGTGCTAGATAGCCTTTTATGTACTAGTACTTTTGGAATGTCAAATTTACATTTAAGAAAGTAACCCCCATTCCCAGTTGCTCTGTGATTTATTTCAGTAACTAACAGTCTTTAACTATACTCTGTTACTTAAAAATAGGAGCAAATATCCTTGTAACCATAGGAAGAACAGCTGTGGCAAATGGTTAGTCTTCCAATTCATTTTCATTTAGCAGGTTTTGCTTCATGAAAAGACGTGAATGAAATTTGAAATGAGGTAATGAAAATAAATGCTGTGTGATGCCTAAATAAAAATGCCTTCCCTGTTTGTGATATGCATTATGACTGCAAATGTGGTAGGGTGGCAATGGCCTTGAAGTGCCTATTTTAAAGGAAGAGACTATGATTGATGATCTGGCATTAAAAGTAAGTCATCTGTGCTTTAGTTAGTCATATATATATTTTAAAAAGTAAGACTTTTTTTAGTTTTATACAAAGACCCAAAAGAAGTGAAATTCAATAATAATAAATTACATCCTATAAATATGCAAAATAAGAATAAAGAAATGTAAAGCTAAAACCTAAAAATTTTTTAGTCTTTGTGTAAAATTGGTTCTACATTTTTTACTATTTGTTTACTCTAATAAATGTTCAGCAGCATATTGCACGGAAATACTTAAAATAATTATGTCCTTAAATAAAAAATTTTGTGATAAATATATTTAGTGTTTAAACAATATATACTTATTATATGTTTAAGTGGTAAAAAATGCAAATGAAAAACTTTTTTTAACCGTTTTGTGCTCTAGATGCAGGATGAGAATAAACTAAGCATCAAACATTAGTAAATTGGAAAAAGCAAGGCAATTGCTTATAATAATAATTGCAACTGCTAAGAGGTTTAACACAATATCAAACTAATCCAGTTAAAGAAAGAATCATAGCGAACAATTCGAAAATAAAAATGCGAAAGGGAAAAATGTACAAATTATACAAATAAAAAATTTCCTTTTATTACTCTAGTTTAATTACTATATAATTAACAAGTATTAAAACTAATGCTGATAATGAAACATATCTGTAATTTTGTGTTTGAAATTTGGAAAAAAATTACTACCAGTTTTCTAGAGTATATTGCAATTTTAAAACTATCAATAGAAATTTATGCTTTCAGTTTTATAGAACATTTTTCATCAGTAACTAAAATGTGTACAAAGGTATAAAGAATGATATTTAATATGTAATTTCTATTTTATTTTGTTTAAATTTTACAAAAACAGAAATTCACTGTAGTTTTTAATAACTACACAAATATGGCTATAGCACTGACTGAAAAAATAGTCAAATGGCAAATCAGACAATAAATATTCGGAGTTTTGAAATTGTTGTGCATCATGGGGATGGAACATTATTTAGAGGAGAGTTTCTTAAAACTTTTTGGTGTGGGGACCCCATAATATTTATGAAAATTTTGCGGAACCCTATTAAGCATTGTACAAATCTGACACACTCATGAAGTAAACTGTCAGTTTCTTCTTCGTTTCTATTATAAAAAAAAATGCGTCAAAACTTTTTTTTGGGGGGGGGTCGTCGATTGCTTATTTTATTATTTTCAGAATTTATGTAAAAATATTTGGCAATTGTAAAATTATTATAATAAGTTAAAGAAATCTCAAAATTACTAAAATATTTGGCGACCCCCTTACTGCAGGTCCTGTGACCCACAGTTTAAGAAACTCTTATTTAGAATATGATATTTGTTAACTAGGGATTATGCAACAATGACCAACAAAATCATTCATTTAGGTGAAAAAATAAAAAGACTTTTTTTAATTAATTCATTAAAAAATATGCTTTTGTATTTTATTTCTGTAATTATTGTCTTCATCCGAATATAATAACATCTGCAGTTTTTACTACATACTAATGCGGGCATTCATGTTTTTTCAAAGTGCTTAATTGAGCTAAATGTGCTAATTAATTTTTGTCCATTCTATTATTAAAGACAATCATCCTGGTGAAAAATTTTTTCACTAAGTGCTGATCATCTGTAGGCATTGTATTATGTGATAAATGTGAAAAGGAAATAATCATTATCTATTTTTGCAACATGAAATTTTTATATACCCCTTTGGCCTATATTTACTTTATTGAAAATTGTTTCAAAGTTATTCACAGTAGTTGGTTGGTTTCTGTAATTACGGCAAAGCCTCGAGGGCTATCTGCCAAAGGGAAAGGATGCCTTCGTTGAGTACTTTCAAAGGGAAACCTTGCAGCCAGCCCTTTCGAACCTCGCACCGAACTACTAGTGTTCAGCGATTTTACTGCTCGGCCGCGGTGGGGGGTGGGGGGGGGGGGGGGGGGGGGGGGGGGGGGGGGGGGGGGGGTGGGGGGGGGGGGGGGGGGGGGTGGGCTTATTCACAGTAATCTATAAATAACAATGGCAATGTTAATTTTTAAAAGACGTTTTTATTTTACTTTGTTTATCAGAATTTCAGTATTAAAAAAAAAAAAATTATAAAATTTCATTTGTGTTCGAGTTTAAAAAATGCTACAATGCAGAAGTTTGAATAATTTTTATTACGCCCTGCGTAACAGACGGCAGCATTTGAGAAGAACAAGACCTGACGTTTATATGACCAAGTTATAAATATTCTATGTGTACTAATCCTTTCGTAATATGGCAGATATAAATGCCATAGTCCAGTTCTTCCCAAACACGTCTCAGCATAAACTATTGTCACAAGACGTAGTTACGCGGTGGTAAATCCGGACCTCATACTGACCAGCATGCTGGAGCCATGTTTTGGTCACTTAAGACCTGTCCCAAGGTGAGTCATATTTTTGTCTATACCATATGCTAAAAGTCTGAATCAAGAGCATTCGCATGATGCTGATGTCACGGATACAAAGGAAAGGAAAAGAGAAGATTCGTACCGTTTTATAGATGAACTTGAAGACTTCATTTATAAAACGATACTAAATATTTGCTAATCGCGAAAAGCCCAATTGATTTCTGAGCAATATGTCTATTTCTGTTTGGCTAATTCTATACAATAATTCCTGTATCTTGAATTCAAAAATTCACCCCCCCCCAACTTAAAGATGTTACACACGTTAATATTGCAACTTAAATCTGATTTGTATCTCAATGGTATTTAATTCATTTTTTAATGCATTACAGTCTCAGAGTGACCAAGCGGTTAAAACCGTTGCCCACTGGCAGATGGACCCGAAATTCAAAACACTACAAACGGACTGGCTG